CTTGTCTTGGTTCAGCTTGGTTTTCCAGATACGTTTTACCAGCACTGAAGGGGGCAAGTGATACACACCGTTTTCAAAATAAATGAAACTTCCTTGTAATATATCTTGTGAAAAACTGAACAATATTATGGGGTAATTCCCAGAATTCCATTGGTTTGGATGGGAACTCTATGCATCTTGCCTATGGTGTCTTGTCTATGGACACTACAACAGTTTGGCACTTTTCAGCCGCAACCATCTCTAGTATTCACTGTTGTTCATTGCATTCATCTTATTAATCTCACTTTGAGTGCTCTTCTATTCCTACTGTCTATAATATATGCTACAACACTGACATTTCCTTCTGTGGGAGGAATAAACGTTCTCTCATCTTGTTCTATTTCTATGGCAACAGTCCTGATTTGTTCCCATTCAGAATCCCTGGCTAGTTCTTAGCTGCACTTTCCCTTTTGATTTATAACAACATACCACCCCACACACACACACACACACACCCACCCACACGCGCATACCCACACATACTAAACTAAATTGTCTTCGCCCAATGTCAGCTTTGGCGTGTTGCAATCGCAGCCTCTGCTTTTGTCAGCAGGCCTCCTCTCTGACCTGACCCCTCCACCAGGCACTATTTCCCGTCAGGAAGATAAACCGCCGCGCTGACTTGCTTTGTACCTGATCGAAGAGCTGCTTGCCGGTGGTGCTGGGCAGGATGGCAAACTCCAGCTCGGCGTCCATTGTTGTGACCCGAACATTTATCTAAAAAGGAGACAACAGAACAAGCTTACAGTGGGGGAGGCTTTATAAACTGGGGCTACAGTACATGCACAAGTAAAAAACTACATGCAGTAAATATAAGTCTATCTCAAACAACAGCCTTATAAGTTTGGTTCAGAAAATGACCGAAAATCATGTCCTTACATTTTTCTGGTCAACAAGCAGCATCCAATCACAAGTGGCTGGTGGGGGCTATAATAAACAAATGAATCCCAATATGTTTTAGACTGAACTGGTTCATTTCAAATGTGCATAATAATAAATGACATTATAAACAAGTCCAGAACCAAACGCTAGCGCATTATAGTTAGGTGAGTCTGATGACAAATGGTATGATAACTATTTCTTGTTCGCTAAAACCTGGAGAGAAGCAGGTCTAAGGATTCTTCACCAATACAACAGACCTTTTTTGTGTATTCTAATATAAGTTGTCTGCACCTTTTTTACTAGACACAATGAAAAGGCAACATTCAAGAAAACTTTCTTCAACAAAGTAATTGGCACTCAATTTTAGTCATTGGTGCAAAAACACACTTTCCTGCTTCTCATCTTCCATCTGGCGAACAAAGTAAAGAGAAAATTTAAGTTGAAACCATAAAAGTACTTACAGTAGACATTGTGTGTGGTATTTTATCACAGGTTGACGTTTTTCTCCACCGCGGTGCAGCTGCAGTAGCCGTTTGGAGTCATATGAAACTGCTTGCAATACCTCTAAGGATTAGAGCCGACCAGAATGGACCATTGTATTGCTCACAACTTCTTTATTTATAATCCAGAGGCAGCTCAGAACCCCAGGAGTTTACTGAAGAACACAAATTTTCACCTCATTATGTAAATAATAGAAACACCTAATAAATAAAAATGTCATGAATTGTGGACTTGTGCTAATTTTGAATCTCATCAGTATGTTCATGGAAATAGCGGTGGGAAAATAGTAGTGCATAGACTACACATATAAAAAGTCATTCATTCATTCATCCTTCCTTTCCTTCCTGCTGCTGTCAGACTGTACAATGAGAACTGCTGAGCCTGGACATGTCATTCTTCTGTAATTAGTCAGCACTGTAATCATGTGCAATGTGCCATACTGCGATATCAGAATGTCCACTTAATCTGCTTATTACCCTGCCCTATATGTATGTAACTTTGCCCTATAGATACTGTAGGTAGAGATCTGATTGATACTGTATATTGATATTTAAGCATCCTGTGTGCTCTTACTACCGTCCTGTATGTGCGCTGCATTATTGAAATGTCGCCACAGTGGGAAGAACGAAGGATCTTTCTGCAGCCCATACATGTCAGACAAACGGTAAAAGACAAACGGTAAAAAACAGACAGATTAAAACCAGTTATGAATGTCTGGTTCATCAAGTGCATTAATGACAGATGTGAAAAACATGAACTCTGCACACTGGAGCCAAATTTGAATTGTATTAAAAGTGAACGGCCAGAGAGCATGAAAAGAATCTGTTCCTCTGAGAGAATACGATGAATATATGATAGGGCTCAAGTTACATGTATATGTGGTGTGTCCAATCTGGTTGACCTAATGGTAAATTAATCCAAAGAGGAACATTTTGCTCCAGGTCTTGAATGTATGATCTGTGGGTGGAGAGCTCATTTAACAAAAACAAGAGCTTCGTAAAAGCTCTGCCTCCTGCTGTGCATTTGGGCACCACCAGTCTGGCATCCTGAGAGGAGTGCACGGCAATAGAAAATTAGCTTCGAGATTAACCCTTCAGGTGCTAGAGTTTTTTGGTTGCATTTATAAATGTTATGTGAAAAGAAAAATGGGTAGTGCCTCAACATTGTAGATGAGATGGAGGACCTCAATCACAGAAATATATTCAAGACAGATATTTGATTAAAGAAGCCAGGTCGTTTTACAGCCTCTCCTGGATTCAGATAGGATAAAATGTCTACAAGTATTTCTGTTTCTATTTCCGTTCTATTGATGTTCTGATTGAATAACCAATAAACTACACCAATTAAACGTGAGATGGTTGAACAGCTTGGAAAAGTCCTTCATTTTCTGCTGAAATAAGTAATGCAATAGGAGTATGACATCTGCACTCTGTATGCGTCAAAGGCCAAAGGAATCAAAGAAAACAAACCCTATACTATCCTCTAAAAGTGGTCATGCTGTTTCAGACCCTCATGGGCGTTCACACACTGGTCAATCTATCCAATCGTATTACTTGACTCCAAGATCCAAGAGTGTATTCTTGCAGTAACTGTTAGTTTCCAAGATCATGTTCTGACTCTTTAACAACTTCTAGTTCTTTTTATACAACATCTTAGGAACCCTTATTAGAACAAACAAATAGCTTGACACTGTGTGAAGTTGAGTCCTGAATTTTTGGCCTCCCATGATTTAGTTCCTGTGTTTACAGCAATAACTGCACAGAGATAGATACAACACGGAAGGTCTGTCTACATTTTCTATGGTAAATAAGGATTGTTGTGCTAAATGACCAACTTTTGGGTTTTAACAATTCTCCTTTCATAGCTTGCTTTTGGTGGAATATATGTAAGCTCCCCGTCAACACATTTCTAGATGTTATATCTTATACAGTTGGCTGACAAGACACATAAATAAAATGTAAAATGCAGCCGGCTCCTGGATGGACTGTCTGTCTATAGACATTTTTGCTTGGTTGATTGAGGATATGTTTGTTCAGGTTTTTGAGCTCCTTCTGCGTCACGGTCACATAACAAACATGTGAAGATTAACAAGAGCCACATAGTTCAAATAAGTGATTGGTTAAACAAGTTTCTTAGAGTTGAATATTCTGAAACACAAAACTTTTATCACTTTAAGTAAACTAGTCTTTTGTGGAGGAGTTACGCTGTTTGTCCCATTTTATGCTTTATATAATTCTCTCACACTAGAGACTTTGTAGAGATGTGCAGATACAGATTCACAAGAGAAATAGAAATGCTTTGTCAAGTTGCTGTCGTGACACTATTTTAGGAGCAGTTTGTTCACAAGTTCTTAAAATCCTGACGTTCTCTTGCTTTCCGTTTAAAGGTTACATGCATATTTACATATCTATTCTTACCAAACATATCTTATAATATAATATAATGTATTACATCTGATATTAAAACTATTTTTACAGATGGAAAAAGATAAGGCAAAATATTGTTTGTATCTTTTTTATTTAAGAAACCTACAAAGTGATGTAAAGGTATGTTATTAATTTAAAGGTGCTAAGTAAAACAATGGCAGTAGGATTGCATGCAGGTGGCATGCCACATGAATGTTAGAATCACACTTTGAAACATTTTGTGGAAAAATACCTAAAAACCACACACACGCCTACTCGCACTTAAGGCACTAGTACACTACATCTATTTTTGAAAGCTGTGTCACTGTGAGAGACTCAACTCATTCTCAACACGTGATTTAGGTAAAATGTACTGTAAATTGCCAACTTTCTTTATTATTTTTAAGAAATGAAAAAATACTAAAAAAAATACTGTATGTATATTGACAGTATTTTTGCACAATAGCAGCAGCAGTGGTAATCATTGTTTTATTTTAACTAAACTTGTTTCTCATTCCACTTTCTTTCAGAGCACTAGCCATGCAGAGCAGAGGTGGTCTGAGGGAATACACTTTATTAATCCACAAGGGAAATTATTCAAGCATTAGGCCGATGTGTGTCTGTTTTTAGGTTTACAGTGAAAATGAGAACACTTCCACATACTTTGCATAATAGCATCGTGTAAATATACATCAAATACAAACATATTTGTAGCTGTATCCATTGTAACGATTCTCTCAAATACATTATCTGAATTAGAACATAGTAACATACTCTAATGCACGATTAGTATTCTTATTATTATTCAGTGTATAGACTATAGAAGGAGAAAATATATGTACTGTATGTATTTATATCTATTATTATTTACTTCCCAGAACTGGTTCCAGGCCTCACATTAACAACATACAGAACAGCTCACATAATCAGCAGCGTGTAATCAGTGACCTACCATGCATGCTTTAACATAAGGAAATGGACCCTCAGAGACCTAAGGGCCCTCCAGCTGAGCAGAGACAAAGAAGAGGGGCGCGCGCACGTGAACCCTGCTGCGCGCTCACGTCACACGGGCTATTGTGTTTTATATCAACAAGGAAGGACCACGGAGACCACCAGCACCGGGCCCTTCTCTGCAGATAACTCACTTGTTGCAACGCGGTGATTTCCACAGCCATGACGGACGAACAAGAAATCATGTGTAAACTGGAGAGTATCCTGGAAATACGGTGTGTATCACGACTTTTAAACGCGGACTCAGATGTTATTATTAGCGTCTTATTAGCTTTTGCTAGCGCTAGCCGCAGACCGTGGACAGGGCTGCTGCTGGCTTCTTGACTTGGCTTTTGTTACCCCGTTAGCCGCTTAGCCTCCAGCTTTTCTGCCTCCTTTTTGTGGCTCCTCTCCGATCATTCAACCCGTGCTTTATTATACAGACGGACACAAAAGGAAATGACAGCCTTACGCGATGCAATGGTGTTCATTATTGAGATCATAGATGCGCCGGCTCCAGATGTGCACGCGCTAAAAGCCAGATGTGAGCTGAGATAATTACCGCTGTGGTGAAGCTAGGCTAGTTAGCACAGAGCTGTCACAGACCGCAGGGCCAACACTGCCCTAATAATGCAGAGGGCGACAGTAGCTCAGTTGGAAGAGCATTGGCCTTTGAGTGGGTCCGAGCCCGACTTTCTCCACCGACTCCCACTGATGTCTGCTGTCGTTGTGTCCTTGGCAAGACACTTAACCTCTGGGAACACCTGATGCCACAGTGGGGGCGGCTGTGGCTGTAAAGTGCCAAACTGCCTTTGTGTCCTTTGGCAAGACACTTCACCCCCATTGCCTAGAATGAGTCTGGTGTGTGTGTGAACGGTTGGTGGTGGTCGGAGGGGCCGATGGCGCATACTGGTTGCCTCGCTTCTGTCAGTGTGCCCCAGGGCAGCTGTGGCTACAGTAGTAGTTTATCACCACCGTGTATGGAGTGAAAGAATAATGACATGTAAAGCGTCTTTGAGTGTCCAAAAAAGCGCTATATAAAACCGATGCATTATTATTATTAGTAGTAGTAGTAGTAGTAGTAGTAATAATAACGAGTGCAAAAGGACCACTTCCTTATGCACTTGTTATTACTGCATTATTAGGGCTGTGTGGTGATACTATATCTTGCTGCATAAGTTTGTGTCTACAGGTTGTCTGAGGTTTGTCACTACGATGCTATTAGGTAAAATTTAAACAATATGTCAATGGCCAACACTTTCCACCTGAAACAATAGGGACAACAAACAGATTAATCGACCCATAGTAAAATGATAATTAAGATCTCTTGTTCATTGACTATTTTCTCATTGTTTGCATCCTATTTTTGTCTGTGTTTTTTTTAAATTGGATTCCATTATCAAGTTTTCAATTAGAGTCACATGAGGTTTTTTTTTAAGATTTGATGTCATATTAGGGGTGTAAGAATTCAGAAATCACCTGTTTCTGTTTTATTCGGATTTGACCATTTACCCATGGTAAACACTTCACATAGTTGTTCTCCACTGTTGTTCTCTGGTCCTCTGTGTGTGTGTGTGCACGCTAGGTATGTCAAAATCGATTTTAGGGTCACGATTTGATTACATTCTCAAATCAAATAGTGATGTTTAAATCCAGTGTTTTCCACCACCGAATAAGACCAGAAGATCTGCTGCTATAAATAACCCTGTCATTATATATTGATGCATCGTTTATACTTTAGCTAGTTAGCTCCTATCCACTACAGTCTATGCTATCCACTAAAAGCTGTTAAATCATAGACTGTCATTAACTTTGCATTGAAACTGGATGCAACAATAGTCCGGTGTGAATGCCCCTTAACGCGCTGAACCAATGCGAAGCCAATTCAATAACAAATTTAAATCGTGACAACCCTAGTGCACGCAGGTCAGATTTATTAATGGACAAACCATTCAATCTTAACCAATGTGTGTGTTTGGCTCTAGACTAGAGCCTGGCTCAAACCCAAAACTCTCCTTAGTGTGTGGTAGGCTGGACGATACGGCTAATAAATTATATATATATTAGAAAGATCATCCTAATGGTATAATTCACAATACAATTAACGTTGGGAAAAAATCTTATCTTCCCCATCTATCTATAGCCATAAACCATTTTCTCCTCGGAGGGTGGATGACTACTGACTACAGAAAGAAGATCCGATCACACACTCATTCATCCACATTCACACCTTTAGACCCCTCAGGCAAGCTGAACTGCTGCCTAGTGCTTAAAAAAAACTATGCAATAAATCATTCTTATCGCTCTCCAAACTGTTTGTCTCTGTCAGTAGTTTTCACACGGCTGTATTTTTGGACTAGATTTTATTTTGCACATGGGGAAACACTATGACATACCCCATTACAGCCAACATATTACATTTGGCACAGATGACTATCCCACATTGTTTCTCTGGTTACTCTGAAGTTATCATGCTCTAGACCAGGGTGTGAAACATGTCACTGCAGTGACTTAATCCATGGTGACCCTAAACTCTTTGCAGCGAGAGGGAAGTTGTTCTGGTTGGCAGCATGCAGCTTAGTATGGTGGATGGAGAGCATTGGATTGGACAGAAGGGGGAAGAGAGACAGACCCAGAAAAACTATCCTACAGTTGTCCATGAGAACTGTTCGTGACCAAGTGTGGAAGCTGTCCAAAAACACAAGGGTCTGCAGACAGGGGAATATTCACTTTCGGTAGGCTCGTCTTCACCTTTTTCCGTAAGTGGAGCCAGCCAGAAAGTCCGAATAGAAAGTCTTTATGAGAAAGGCACATGCTGTCGTCAAGGAACGTATTGTGACGGGATGAGATGTCCCGGGGCATCTGAAGGTGAAGAAAATTAACTCTGCACAATTCAAGTAAAAAAGGTTCAATGATATAACAATAATATTACTTTCTAAATTAAATGTAAGGACATTTCGATGGGTTAATATTCACAATACAGAGAAGATAGTTGTAACTAGATACATTTGAAGTCTGTTGACCGATCTCTTACGCAGCTCTCAGCGCACCCTCCTGACCTTATGAACAACTGCGATGCTCCAGAACTGACTATTACAAGTAGCTTAATCCCAATAGTGTCAAGCTATGACATTCTGCCATCTCCCCTTACTGACCGCTGCATTAGCACTCAGTATTCTACAGAAAACACAATTGAAGAGTCAAGAGTTTTTTTATGATGTGATATATCCCAATACTAATAAGGTAAAAATAAGGCGATCATTGACGTTTTTCAAATGAAAATTCTAATAAATAATTTCACACAAAAAGCTACACGTAAGACTGTTGTTTTAAATAAAATAAAAAACTTATATTTTAAATAAATAATAATATTGATACATTGTATCTTATACCTTTTATAATACATAATTTAAAAAAAATCTTAATCTACATTTGATACATTTCAAGTACAATTCAGTATTATATATTTTGATAAAGGTGTTAAAGCAGGAACACAGAGGAAGTACATTTTGTAAAATATTGCCTCAAGGGAATGCTTATAACAAGATTGATTTAAACTTAAGATGCCAACATGACATGTTTTTTTTTTTTTTTCAAATCTGTGTCTCATGTCTTTTGACACATTCCAAAGAATCAATAATTTTTATCTTTTTAGCCATAGAGCCGATGTGACATCAGTGACCAATGGAACTACAGAGTGTGCAGAGCCTCAGGTTCCCTTTTAAAGGGATTTTCCTTTTAGGTGTTTCGAACATTTCAAATATGAATATCTGAACATTCTGAAGACATGACAGAGGCTAACGAGCTACGTGAAAACTATTATATACAGCAATGTGCTATTTTACATTTCCCCTCTGAGGGATGAATAAAGGATCTCTTAATTATAGTGATGGTCTTATTGTCTGCTTATGTTTAGTTGTTTTATGATTATTTATGCTTTGTCATGTCATAATATAATGGGTGTTTATAATTTGGCTAAGTAACTGCATTCATGAAGCTGAGGCAGCATTTGTGACACTTCTGCTGAATATATAATAATATAATTTGTTTGTAGCCCTTGATTAGATTATTGATAAAATAAACTACACTATGCATCTATTTTTACTCATTTATTTATTTGTACAAGTGTGTGTCAGTCATGAGTAAATCGGAGGTTAAAGTTGCACCCACTCCATAATAGAATTGTGTAGTCCTGTGACCGGGGGCTCGTCTGCAGGTTTTTCTTTTCCCAGGAATGTTTCACAGAATGATAATGCATTCACCAAACATGTACTTACGAGAGTCAAAACAAAACATCACCTGGCCGTTTCCTTTGCTATACTCTGGAGCATACCAGCCACAGGCGTCTCAAACTGGTGGCAAAGCCACATGTGCTAGCCTGGCACTGACCCATTTATTTGTTTGTCAATTTAATCAGACACATTCATAAAGTCTTGCAGACATCGGTAATCACCCGAGATTTCATGGATTTCTGCCGATTAAAAAAATTATCTTTGGATGTCATTGGATGTATCTTTGCCCCCATTCCGCCACTGACCCTTTAAAAAAAAAAAAATAAAACTTTCCCCAATAAATACATGTTGGACCTCAAGCTCTGAACGTTCAGAACTCACCTGATACATTCCAGACTGTTATTGATATCTGGAAAAGTTCAGGAGCCATTGACAATTCTGAGAAATTAATTTGAATATATTTACTGCATATTCTTTCTTATTTATGACATCCATTATAATTTATGACCATAAATATGAAATTGATTGATCAGAATTCCCAAAAATCGGTATCAGCTCCAAAAATGTAACTTCAGTCAATCACAAATAATTGCAATTGCCGTATTTACCCGCACGCCCCAAAATAACATCCCCTTTCAGTAGAACAATTAAAACGTTGCAATTCTAATTGTAATTTGAAGATCTTTATTCGTCTCACGGTGGGAAAAATGAAATGGCGGCGTTGGTAAAAAAAAAAAAAAAGATCATCCACGAGTTCTTTTTAAAATACTCAACGCCTCTAGTTTTGTCAACTAAAGTCGTCTTCTACATATTTTTATGATCTGCGAGATAGAAGTAAAGTCTGCAGATCAGCACCATGGTCACTTTTGAATAACGTGTGAGTGATCAATGGTATTTCATCTGCTTTCGCTCACAGAAACAAGACCGTGCAGATGCAGAAGATCAAGGCTCGTCTGAAGATCGAGTTTGAATCACTCGAGTCAGAAGAGAAACATTTAAAAGAATACAAACAAGAAATGGACCTCCTTTTGCAAGAAAAGATGGCACACGTGGAGGAACTTAGACTCATTCACGCCGACATCAACGTGGCAAGTATACTAAACTAAACTAAAGTGTGTTAATTAACTCATATGAATGAAAAACAACAGGGATCAGACCAGATTCAGTCACCATAAGATTGTGCACACATGCGGAACATGATCCTGTGACATTCTTTCGAATTTAATTTGGAGTAAGTGACACCGGTATCTGATATATGTGCCGATGCAAGAGAATTTGTTGGATCAAATATCGGTTTTATGATATTGGTTGAGCTGGTTTTCTAATTGGGTCTTTCAATTGCGGTAATGAGACACTTTGCAGGCTGATTATACAACCAGATGTTATTAGGTTTAATCTTTTGCACATTCAAAGTTGTTTTGTAGGTACTTATAGGATTAAAAAGAACTGTTAAAAACACATGTGGACCCATTTTGTATTATATTAGCTGTGATTTAAAGGGGAAAAGTGTGCAATATATGAACCAATATCTTCCCTGACAATGGCTTGCTAGTGTCAGATTCATGTCCCTAATAAATTATGATAATAATGTCCAAATTGTGGTCGAAAGATTGAATAACAGTCCAATCCTACAGAGAAAATATTCACACATCCTCTTCTGTATTGTGTGCGTCAGATGGAGAGCACCATTAAACAGTCGGAGAACGATCTGAACAAGTTACTTGAAACGACTCGCCGCCTTCACGACGAGTACAAGCCGTTGAAAGAGCACGTGGACGCCCTGAGAATGACTCTGGGGCTGCACAGACTTCCCAACCTCAACGAAGAGGAGGAGAAGCTTTCCCTGGAGTAAGTATTCACCCAAGTTTGGCAGCGCTTTACTTTGATTTTTCCACTCAATGAAGCACACTGGTTTGTAGGTGTGGGACAATCTGTTGCGTTCATGTGACATCACAACATTCCAAAGAGCCGAGTTACTCTCTCTGCTGGAAGGGAGATTGAAGTTATTTCCGGAAAAGTCAAGGTTTTCCTCATGAAATAATCAAGTAAGATCTTGGCCAATAGAAAGAACTTTTAGACATAAAAATAACATGATAATTATAATAATCACCATCAAAAATTATAAGGGGGAACATTTGTATATCTTCAACATTTCTATAAAAAAAAGACTTTGTACCCATAGCGTTGTATGGCACATGCTTTCCAACTGAATTACAATCATTGAACATTTATTTTCAGTTTCTGTATTAGTCAATGATAAAGTGCAAGTTGCTTGTCAGAATTGTATAATGCTCCTCCAACACATTTTCGCGCTGCATTTTCCAGTTACATTAATTTCTTCAGTATCAGAAGAACCCTGTATTTTACAGTTCAGTCAAATTTAAATCATGAAATCCCAGTGAGTATTGGGATAACTGCGGAGGAACAAGGCCTTAACTTAACCTGGATAACCAGACACATTTCCATGTACTACTGTTTTAAACCCAAGTGATAATTATTACCACAGTTTAACTAAAAGGTATTTTTTGGCACAAGAGACTCAACTCTAGAACTACAGCGGCACTAATTGTGTTGTTTACCTCTACTATCTTACCTGTCCCTGTGAGAAAATGAACAGGTTCAGCCGGCACACCTGGCACAATGAGAATCTACATAATTACATGGTGTATTTTTCACTCGAAAGTTGCCAATTTTCTCATCATTGTTGAAAAGAAGGAGGAGGAAGATTGAGCACTTGAGGCCATTACACCAGAGCATGGAACCACCAGCGACGCCATCTTTCCTCACCATTAGCTGATGACCTACACAATTAAGTGCCACAAGCATTCACTAAATATAAATCGAGTGCCCAGTGATAACTTTGTCATTCTGTCGCAATCGCAGCCAGGTCCTACCCTGGTCCAACCCAGGTCCTACCCTGGTCCAACCCAGGTCCAACCCAGAACAAGCCTGTATGATTTCATGGTCAGGGATTTTTATTGGGAATCACATTTGATACCCTACAATTTAAATTACAAGATAATTGATTATCAGCTCAAAATACAATCATGTAATTTCAGTAATTTTTTTCACGACTCAAGCCAAAACCGGTTTGATTGAAGTACTACTGCTCGGGGAATATTTGGCAATACATCCAGTAACTGATAATACTGTTTTACAAACTCCGAGCTTTATTATAGAGAATTTCATTGTTGAACCTCAATCTGTAAAAACGTTATAAACATTACATATTACGTTGGGGTAGAAGGGGAAATATAAGTATAGAATTATATTGTTTTAGAGCTGAAATTACTAATTAACAATTTTTCCTTTACAGTTGTGTCTCAATTTTAATTGACTGAATTTTATATTTTAAGTAAAAGTATTTCAAATGTGTATCTGTGGCACGATAAACAAAAGGTTCCATAATTGCGTCGCTTGTTTCACCTTGAGCTGTTTCCATGTGACGTCCACACTGCTCTGGAGCCACATCCGGATTTATTTAGTCAAGATTATTTTACACACCATCATTTTTTGGCTTTTACATACATATTGATTATGTGTTTTAAGCAAGTAAACACATTTATAGCTGCTGCCCATATTATCTGTCCTCCAAGAGAATATTTATGATTTTAGACTTTTTTTCCACTCTTCACACAACCTGAGACATTCAAACCTGTGAATATGAGCCCAAAATCACCAGGATACTGTATGTAAAACTTTAACCATGAACTAGTTTATGATTTAAAAAGCACAGTTTTACTAGATTGCCTTATCCCACCACCTCATGATCATGTACAATTGCGTATTCTGTGACCCAAAAAAAAAAAATCAGGATAAACTTCCACAACTTATTGCAAAGATAAAAATACACGTTTTTGTTTATGATTAAAAAAAAGTCTGCGTGTACACAAACCTATTGTAAGGCCGTACATGTGGAGAGTGCTGTTTAATGTAACTCTAGACCAGCCTTCATATATAGCGTTTGTGATGGCAGCAGTGACAGATTTAACACTGCCGGAATATGGCGTGACGGCGGATTATCACAGTGCATAATTTTATTGGCGAAAGCGGCAGCAGACGTAGCCGGCTGCCGTCTACGCTGCATCGAAGAAACCTCTGGATCAGATGAGCACATAGCGACAGTGTCAAGGTCAGGATTTGATTCATTAGCCTTTCAACGGCATGTTTTTTTTTTTCACAAGCTGGCTTCTATTTTGGAGTTAAAACTTCAAGAATCAGAGTAATGTAACCCTGGTTTTTATAGTCATCATAAAATAAAATAGATGAAGTGACAGGTCTGGTGCCCCGGGCTGTCTCCTTTAGCCTATGTAGGTTAATTGCTTCATGCAGTGATAGTAGTAGAACAACTTTGTGAACTAATGTACAATTCTTTTAGGTTCTTTTCACTTTTACCTCCATTCTTTTCATTTGGATCAGTTTTTATTGTTCAAAAAATAAGAATACGTTCTGCATTAGTAATAACTTGTGTTAGCCCACCCACTAAAAAAATATCAATATAGTTACCGTGATGATAGTGATATATTATATTATTATATTATATTTGTTTTGTTTTTTTCTTTCTGGTTTTATATTTATCGCCTTTATAAGAATTAGCAGCAATAAAACTTCTCTCAAGCTCCTATAAAAGAGGTATTCATCAAATTTTCCCAAAGCCCAAACTTTACGGTGGGCTGTGATCTCTGAGCCGAATAAGTGCCACTTTAACACAGTTTAGTATCATAAAAAACACAAGTTGTGTGCCAGGAACAAACTAGAATAGACCAGTATCAACCAGATTTTTACTCAATATCTTTTATTAGTGGCTTTAGTTGTTGTAGTAGTGCTTTAGTTGAAGTTGAATTGTAGTAAGGGATCAGATGTACATGTTAGAGACATAGATTGGAGAGCTGTCCCCCATTGACCAATCTGTTGGTCAATAAAAAATGTATCTATTGGTCCTTCTTTGGTCAACTTCAGCATCTATATCAAGATTGGCCTAATTTTTTGTTTTGTGCCAATATATATTGTCAATCATTTAGAAATTAACTTCAGAATACAACTCGAGTCACACTTAAAGGATAATATTTATTATTCCACAAAACTGAGAATGTCGCTATGGGTCAATTTTTTACTGAATTGTCTCTAATTTCTTGGAAATATGGTGATAATCATAATCCTATTTAACTATAGTCATCATATTTGAAAGAGCCCTGTTCGTATGTTTGTAGATATTTATCGTAGCTGCAAGTAACAAATGTTTCTTATAATAGAATTAATTGGCCTGGAGGACTTAGACATTGGGCTATTCGATTAAAAATACTTTTAACACATTATAGAATTATACGAGTCATAAAATATCATCTAAAACATGTCAGAGGTAAGAAATGATAAATCAATCTCTAAATTGGTTTGTTGTGATTAATCGATTTGTTCCAGCCGAAATATTGGAGTATGTATCGTATTAGCAAACTGTAAAGATTGAACTAAAGCACTTGTTCAAGGAAGGACCTCAGGCCTGACCTTGTTGCTTCAGGCCGCTTTCAAACTGCAGAAAAGGCTCCAACTTCTCACTGTTTTGTAATTTTCCCCCTATCTAGTCGATGACAAAGACGTTAAAATCACCACATTGCGGTGCCGGAAAAGTAATCAGAGAAGGGAGGTTTTTTTTTTTACATGTTTCACTGTAATTGTCCTTTGAGGTGCGAGCAACAAGAAAATTAAATCACACCTCATGTCGAGGTGAGTGCTAGGTACATTTAAGTGATATATTAGTGCAAAATGAGTGCACCGCACCTCTCTCCAGCAGGAATACGATCCAGTGTTGAGTTAAGGATGAGATGTTGTCTTCTGTGCTTCCTAAACGTCGTTAGCCGTATGGATTAAGATTGCTGTTGAATAGTGCTCTATACTTCCCATATTCAAATTCTTGCAAACTATTTAAAGAGAAGATAGAGAGTGTAATGAAATTAGATATCCTTATCCTCCCTCTTGGTTTGGAAATAAGCCAATTAAACATGAAGGCCACAATGCGTTCCCAGCCTCCCCTCTGCCCACACACATGGATAGACTTGCATGCTCTTTCATTGTATTCCCACTTTGAGTTTTCTACCTAAGAAAAAGATGCAGAGATTGAGTTCCCTTTGTGTTCCTTTTTGACACCGCACAACAAGAGCCCCCGATGAGATAATCTCCGACTGTGATATGATTTATCAGCTTTGAATAAGAATCACAGCACGACGGGTTTGTGTCTTTCTGTACGCAGCTACTTTGAAAAGCAAAAGGCAGAATGGCAGAAGGAGCCGCACGAGCCCGCCATCCCAGAATCCCTCGCAGCAGCAGCGGCCGCAGCGCAACAGCTCCAGGTCTCAAGGAAGCAAGACGCCCGCCAGACGGCTACATTCAGACAGCAGCCTCCGCCAATGAAGGTATACAAAATGTGGGGGTGCAACTAACCCCTTAATATTACATTTTTCTGAGGCAAAATTGCTTTGGTATTATGTCTTCTTTATCTACATCACATTTAGAGAAAACTGAATTGTTGTCATCTAGCATCTGGTTCAAGTCTGGTTCAGTTTATTTTAGAATATCCCTAAATCACAGCAGCAGTCGTCTCTGAAGATTACGGGAAACTGGTTTGAACACAGGAAATGCAATAATAACAAACTCATAACTAGCCTTTGGTCTATAGGCTGCGGGATGACCAATGTCCATAAATGTTTTTTAATTATTATTATTTTTTTTTTTCTTCCACTAAACAGAAGCCGCTAAAACACATTAATTTCATCCAAAAACACAGGGGCGCCTTATCCTTTTACTAGGCCGGCATGTCAGAACAATTCCAGATTCAACCCGCCCTGTCACCTCGTCTTGATGACAAGGTGTGTTTAGTGTGAACACCAGATATAGCAGTGATTTATACGGCAATAAAACCTAACTCTCTTTCCTTTTTTGAATTGTCCTTGTCCGTCCTTGTCCTAGCACAATGGGATTCCCGTGCTACGAAAGTCCTGTCTTCCCTGTGATGAGAAGCCAACACAGGTTCCCACTGTTGCCCCGGGTCGACAAGCCATTTCATCCCGTGTGGAAAAACACAATGCCCAGTGGGAAAAAGAGTAGTAACTGATTCATTGGAAATTTCTGCTCTATTTTACTTGAGTTTTCAAAATTCTAAATGTATTTAGCACCAAAACTTGAGTTCAGACAGGAAGATTTGGATTTGGTGTGGTCATTCAGTGCATTCCTCAAATCTGTCACATCTGGAGTGGCTCGGTCCCCGGTCCAGATCGTCCATCACCTCCATGTCCTTACCCTACGTCAGCTCTGCCCGTAGTTGACGCCGAGCTGTATTTTATCTCATGTCAGCTTTGAAGTCAATGCAAACCTCCTCCTCTTTTTTCCATCTCGGTTGCAGAATAATCTCCTCTGGGTTTAGGCCTCTAGTTCTTAGGCCTCGGGGAATTGAGATTTCATATCATATCACTTTATACCTCTCTCTAAGGTCTGCGTAGGGAAGCGATATTGAAAGATGGATAGATAGTCCTTTGAAAAAATTCAAACATATTATAAGGGGAGAACACTGGACGTTACCTGAGCATCTGTAGAATAATTGTGCCAGAACTATCAGGAAACTTCAGGAAACTGCTTTAAACATGTATCGTAAGTTTATGAACCAAAAAAGAGCATTTAAAATCACCTCTGTGGTATTGAAATTGGCATATCTAGTCTATTAGGATCAAAATCAAGTTTGAAATTCTCCTCTTCACTCATCATATCCACTCATTATGCCTCGAATCTCCAGATATTAGTTTTATTCCAATCAGGCAGCAATTTTTTTAAAGAACGTTATGAAAGGTTTAGCTTCATTTACAGACAAGAATCACATTTTCACAATTTTTTCACATTTTTTCCCAACATGGATTAAACACAGCGCATGTGTGCACAGATAGTATGTTTGTCATGTTTTCTCTTATGGAAAAAGTCTAACCGTAATAACACATATTTTCTTATTTTTTTGCATAATCTAAAATATAAATCTAACTTGTTTATTCAAGAAGTGATACAACCTGTCACAGACACACTCCTACGTTATCTCAGCTGCGTTTCTTTCATACCACTGGCTTTGACCCTTCTTCAGCTTGAATCCTTTCTTACAGATCATGTTTTAGAGTTGTTAACTCAGTCTAGACCAGATTTGTGATAGCAGATCACTTTGGAATGCCCAGTGGATCAGCACAGGTGCCAATGATTGTTCAGGTCAATATAATCATACAAACTTGAAGTTAGTTCCATATGAGAACTGTAGTTACATTTTGTATTGCTCAAATCCACAGAATCGTACTATCTTCATGCACTTGTGAATCTCAAGGATTGTGAACATGTTAAACCTGTTGTGCATCAATCCATTTTTTTCCACTTTAACCGTTGCCCGATCACAGAGCCAACAGTCTAAGCAGACACACTTCCTCCAGCTCATCCAGGGGAATCCCAAGCATTCCCAGGCCATCTAAGAGACATAGACCCACCAACGTGTCCTATTGATGGGAGGTGTCCAGAACACCTCCACAGGGAGTCGTCTGGGAGGCATCCCAAACAAATGCCCGAGCCATCTGTTGCTTGTTTGATAAATACGTATTGTGTGTATCAACATATCTTTGACATACTGAGAGCTGATTGGCTGAGGCAGGGCTGGTCCTCTCTTTTCTCCTGAAAAGCTGATCATACTGTAGAAGTGACAGAGGCCAAACATACAAACATGTGCAAACTAGTCAGAGAATCAAGCTGTTTTGAGAGCAACATGGATCATATTACATAGTGTTTTCTTGTGGTTTTAAAGTATTGTGTTCTTTGTTGGATAATCTAGAATAGTGGTTTCAATCGTGTTGTTCTTCCTTTCAGAGTAACAGAGTAACATATTAACAGTTTAATCAACATATTAATTAGACACACGTACTGAAGGTTATGAGGTCATCATCTGAAGCACTTATCTCTTGTTGCTCTCTCCCCCAGGCGTGCTTATCGTGCCATCAGCAGATCCACCGCAACGCACCCATTTGCCCGTTATGCAAGGCCAAGAGCCGCTCTCGCAACCCAAAGAAGCCCAAGAGGAAGCCGGACGAGTAAGGTGTGCGTCCGGCGTCGCCATCAGCAGTGCGGTCCCAAACAGATCTGAGACCAGCCAGGTACATCTCACTGTAGCTCCCTGGCTGCACTCACAACATCTGCACCCATTGAAAAAAACATGTAGCGCCCATTTTGTTTTTTTATTAGTGCTTTGGACGTGTTTCAAATGTAGTATCTATAAAAAAGGACTTCCTAACAGTGTTGGCAATAACGCAAAACTTGACAAATTGCCCAAATAATTTTTTGCTAATTTCAGTATTGTTTCATGGCCTTCAATATTGTGTTATATATAAATGTATAATAATGCATGTGTTTGTGCTTCCATCGCTGTTGTGATTTTCTGTGCCAAGATGGAGATGTTAAGTGTTTTAAAACGAGAAAAAAAAGAGAATAACTGAAAGAGATGTTGGTTTTTTTATGTTTACGATGTTTTATTGGCTATAAAACAAGGCGCTTTTTGCTTTACATGTCTTAACTTTAATATGGTAGTAAAAATAAATGGCTGTTTTGTACTAATCCAGGTTGTGTGGCGTGTGTTTTTTGTTTTGTTTCCGTAGCATTGTCTGGTTGATTTAATTAGTGTTATAGGCACCGTCATAAAAGTAGGCAACACGATCGTTCGCTTGCATTAGCAAAGGTGTGGGTTATCATTCCGCAAAGTTTTACTGCCAACTGGTTCCATGACAAGTTAACCCACACGATGACACCTAACTCCATTAATCACAGCGCTGTGATGTCGGCACCTGGCGTTATAATCCTGATGCTGCCATTATGCTAAAAAGTCCCACTTTATAAATAATACAGCCATCATGACTCCAGCTCAATATGTGGACAATGGTGACAGCCCCATTTTAGCTGGAAAATATCACAAGTTAACCAAACAAAATTGGCGGAATATCTAAATTACTTTTTTGTCTGACAAACTTTGAGATTGTGATTAGATTTTTCATATGTGTGAAAATAAGTGCACTGCAAAAAATGATGAAATTGGAGGAAAATATTGCTGAAATTCAGTCTTAATATGAGTACATTATGAGTACAAAACAAGATTTGCCAAAGGGACAAAGCCATTTTGTCTCATTTCAAGAACTGTTTCTTTATTTTTTAATTTCAAGGGAGACTTTTCTTGCTTCTTTTATTAAATAAGATAAGTTTTGATTGTCCCGTTGGCAAATCTTGTTTTAAGGTAGTCCGAATGTGCTCAAGTCAAGACACTTTTTGCCAAATTTGAGATTTTTTTTGGTCCCTTTTTGCTGTGTAGGATATTGATAAAGACCCTCAGACAGGTATTTTGGAGACTGACTTTGGAGTAGACCTATGTCCTTTCAGCAGTGTTTTTTTTGTCACTATTTGAATATCTGCAGTCCTTGTGATTTGCAAACTCTAAAAATTGCAATTACGATTCCATTACGATTAACCTTGCAGCTGACGTACACAGTTGAGCAGTACAAGCGCACTGGAACTACTCTACGCACATCCACCACAGAATCATTGTTCATTGGGTAAAAATTACGCACTGCAAAAAATGATAAAATATGAGGAAAGAATTGCTTGAATCGAGTGGATTATTATTTTCTAATTCCAAGGGAAAAATTTCTTGTATATTAGGATTCTCAAATTAAGATACATTTGATTTTTGCCAAATTTGAACATTGTTTGACTTATTTTTCATGACTTTTTCAGTGTGGGTGTGTCAAAAAACCAAAGCAGGAAAGTAACTTCTATTTTTTTTTTTGGAGCAGCACTACATTTTTAATTTTGATTACTATGAATCTGACGAAGTACATTTATATGTTTGACTTTGCCGTATACGTGAACTGAAAGGTATCTACGCACATGGACTACGGCAGATTCATTGTTTACTGGTGAAAAGGGATGGGTGTGTCACAATAGCACAGCGGGAGAGTGAAGTTGGAGTATGTCCTTTGAGCAGCGCGTTAATACAGTGGCTGTCATGTCTGCAGCTCTGTCTGAAAAAGCACAGCGCGCTCTGTCTAAATGAGTTCCTGTAGCGGTTTTGTCAGGGTAACCCCTCATTTCTGCTGTTGCCCCGGCAACTCCACGTTCCCCTGCCGTTGCCGAGGGAACCACAGGTTGCTGTGACCCACACGTGTTTTACCAAATAGTTCCTCCCAGAGCCTGCGAGGGGCAGCGTGGCATTTAGGAGCACTCAGGGGTAAAGAGATGCCCCTAACATTGTATCTGTCATAAGGAACTGCTGGGCTTCAAAGCTGGGGTACCTAACTTTTCTTTTGCATAAATAACACTTAAAAAAGGAAAATACTGTTAACCAATCGACAAGCTGTCTTCAACTTATTAGAAAACATGTCATTTTTCATACTTAATTACGAGTCACTATTTCACACTTTGGGCAGAGAGCCGAGTGGGTGTTCCTCTCTTTTTCACTTTGTCTGAAAAAGCTGATCTAGAGATTTGACACATGCCGTTTGCAGTAACTTACAATTATGTGAATAAATGATGAATCGAGTGATTATTCTTTTAATAAGTCCATTGGTTGTTTAGAATGCAGATAGAATATTTGATCTCAGTTTGACCCAGATAAAGCTGAACTAATGCCCTCCTTCAAATAGACTTTTTTACCCCAGAACATACCATTTTATTATTGAAGACACTCACAAAATGCCTAGATAATCATGTAAAGTCATCTTTAAATGGCCCTAATTTGTCAAAAGGCATTTATAAACCATGCTCTTTTCCAATACTTCATCTGATGACAGTAGTTCAGCCGAGATATTTGGATTTTTACAGCCCCTAGATCTTGTTATTGTTTTCATTTCGGTGTCCCGCCCTCCACTGTTTTACCAATCAGAAAGTCTGTGATCCGGGTTGCCAGAACTCACCGCGTCGAGCTAATCTCACTGGTTAAAAAACACGTGGCTGCAGAACTAAAAAAGGAAATAAAACAAGGAATAAAAAGAGGATTTCTATCTTTGTGAAATGAAATGTTAGTTATAGATTTGTTGTTGACAAAACTCGAATCTATTCATATATTATGGTCCCAGCTCATCTGCATAACTGGCAACCTGAGCCAGGGAGAGTGGGAGAGGTTGCAGTACCACTTTTGGCCAGATTTTTTACTAACTGCTCCTTTAAAGCAACATCTCATAACAATACATGATTTGCGTGTATAAAGTGTGTATGAAATTGAAAACATGATTTGGTTCTGAACCGAGGTGTTTTTACAATAACAAGGAACTATGGATACATTTTATGGTGGCTTGAAAGTTAGGTGCCTCAGCTTTAACACAGAGCACAATCTAAAGAGGAATACCCACTTTGAACTCTTCATTAAGCCTCAAGTCAATTAGCTCATAAGTGTGTATCTGCTCCCTGCTCTGTGTAAAGGAGCGGTCCCCCCCGGGCTTTCTATCCTGCAGTCAGACTGTACAATGATCAATAAGTAACAAACACTGCTGACATTTTATATGCGGTTGGTGCAGTCCTCCAGACACAGCCTTTCTTTGTGGTTTGCATGTTCTCCCTGTGTCTGCCTAGATTCTCTCTGGGTACTCTGGTCTCTCCTACATTAAATTAAGATAGAATTAGAAAAACATGTAGCTAATGTTGCTCTCTTTGTGGAAATAACAAGTATAAAGTGACTGTGAAAGTTGCTTCATAAATAAAAAATACTTAATTACTTACTCGAGTTTAATCATTTTCAAACATTACGATTTGAGTTTAGTTAATGTTGTTTTGAATGCTTCTTTCGCTGACATTTCCAACTCTGGGGTGAACAAATATTCTCTCCTCAAAATCAAGTTATACATTTGAGAATACATTTGATTATTTTACAGACGTACATTTCCCAGATGACAAAAGTTCTTATTAATCCCATAATAAAGACAGATTGATAGTGTTGTGTTGTCTTTACTCTGTTCATTTTCCACACACAAGTGTTTAGTCTGCTTTCTGCTGTGAGGAAGTGCAGTTGTGTCTTGCCTCTGATAAAAAATATGCCAAGGTCAGTGATGTTTCAGCTCACACACTGATGAAGGGGCCCCACCTCTGCGCACCCTGCCTGACAGACGCGGGAGAGGGATAAAAAAGATGGCCAGATGAATAAATAAAAAAGTCACTATCATGCCTTCCTCCCTAAACTCCCTCACCTTGACTTTTTCCTTGAGAGTTTTTGGATCCTTGGCGCGCAGAGAAGAGTTAGAAGGGGGTCTGGACTCTTAATATTTACAGTCTATGGTCTGGACTCCGGACGTGGCGCGCGTAAAAAAAAAAAAACAAAGCCTCAGTGCCAAATCCAAATCGACCTGTCAAAACTCGTTCTTAATTTTCTGACTTGTCTCCTCTTGGTGACTCGTAAATGTGCGGCGGCTTTTGTAACGCCTGTTTGTTTGGTAAATATAGGCGCACGAAATTAAATTCTTGTAGGCTTTCACACCTTTTGATGTGGTTGAAACACGCGCACTCACATAAGTCTATACTGCGTACTTACAGTTGATGCGTCACCGCCATCTGCTGGACAGTGACGGTGTTGCAGAAGTCTGACCTGGACAAAATGCAATGTCGAGTAAAATAGGCCAAATAAAAAAATAAAATCGATGTTTTTTTGTTTTATCTTTTCTCTAATAGAGCCAGACTGTGCAACGCTCTTCCTACTGACTTAAACTGTAAAAAAAAAAAAAAATCAAGTAGGGGTTGTGCCATATTTAATAAACTCTAATCTTGTGTTGTGGGCTCCTATCTGTATCTTGTGATGCAACACTGACATTATATAGAGTCATATATAAAAAAAAGCTCTTATCTTAAGTTAATTTAAATATTCACCAGGTGTCTGAAACTGGCAGAAATCAGAGCAAGACTGAATTGCACATTTGAAAATATATTTATAAAATTAAGTGTGTTGTGTGCCATATGGACTCATGTGAAATTATTATTTTTTACAGGCAGTGTGTCTGGGTGGTCCAACTGTTATATCATTATCAAACCATTAAGTTAGCCTAAAATAAAGATCACAATAATATCACCAGAATATTTAAGACATTGATTCGTAAACCTTTTGGCTGTGTACCCTAACCCTAACGTTTATTTCCATCCAGTAATGACTAAGTTTGCTTTCTTATCATAATTATTAATTGTATTTAACCAAAAACGTCCCAAAATTGGTCTCATTTGGATGTAGACAAGGACCAGGTGCACAGTGCTATAAAAAAATAAAGTAATTGTTCCTTTTTTAATGTTGGTGAATCATAAAATTATACAGGAATGAACACAGTATACTATATTTTTAAATGTTATTTCCTGGAAACCATGATTAATAATTCTGGATTATGGTACTTACTTTCACGACACCATTTCACATAACAGTAATAAAGCTCCATGCACTAACGCCAACCAAAGCGCTATCTCTATTCGCTCCAGTTTTCAGATACAATATTGTTACACAAGTAAAACAAACATCTGTAAGACATTTAAAAAAACTCTTTGAAGTAAAGGCCAATTTCTTTTACCTCAGTTGACTTACATGTTTACAGAGAAATGGAAGTATGATGTAAAACTGCTATGGCAAAAATGTAAGACCCTGTAGACCCACCACTTAGTCTCTCTTTCTCTTTCTCTCTCTGGTCTCACTCTTGTCTCTCTCTGGTCTCACTCTGGTCTCACTCCGGTCTCTTTCTTGTCTTTCTGGTCTCTCATTGGTCTCTCTCCTTCTGATATCTCTCTTTCTGATCTCTCGTGTCTCTCTCTGGTCTCCCTTTCTCTAATGACTGGTCTCTTTCTTTCTGCTCTCTCTGCTCTCCCTCTCTCTGATCTCTCTCTGGTCTCTCTCTGGTCTCTCTCTCTCTGGTCTCTCTCTCTGCTCTCTCTGCTCTCTCTCTGATCTCGCTCTGGTCTCTCTGATCTCTCTCTGCTCTCTCTCTGCTCTCTTTCTTTGATCTCTCTGGTATTTTTCTGGTCTCTCTCTGATCTCTCTCTGATCTCTCTCTGGTTGAGCATTGTAAAATGTAAAATAAGTAAAATGTTGTGAACAAATCAGACCCAAACATGTCATCTTCTTCATACTAGAAAACATGTTGCAAAAAAGAGCCCTGTGAGTCACTATTTGACCCTTTGGGATGAGTTTTGATTGCGTGATCCTATTTTTTTAAGCTTTCTCTCTGAAAAAGCCCAATAAATAAAAATATATTATTAATATCGAGCATGCGAAAACTGTTTTGAGAGTGAGGAAGTATTTTGTTGAACTTTGTCACATAGATTAAAGTGTTTGTGGTTTGAAAATTAGGTACTATAGCTTTAACCAGAATAAAACAACACATAAACCACAACCTATTACCATAAAGGAAAATTCTAGCATAATCTAAACCAGGGCTGAACGCATTCTAAGCCTGGCCGCCTCACCAGTTTATTGGCCGGACTACACTCAACCCTGAGCTAAAAAACCCAGTACTAGAATGGAACGGTTGCCAGTACGATTTTTTTTTTTTTCAGGCCATCTGGTTTGGGGAAAAATGTGTTGCGTTTTCAGAGCGTGGCTGGGCTGCACGCACTTTAAAGACGGTGGTGTGGGTTTGGCAGAGAACAGCTGAGTGTGTGGAGACTGCACTAATGCCCTGTGCAAGTCCGACAGCTGACAGCATCTTCTGCAGCGCCAGTCTGGGAGGACCGGCGATAAAACACATCAGAGACAAAGGCAAAACACAGCTATAAATATGTATCCAGGCTGGGTATTTTTTTTAAGGTTTTTTTTTTTTTTTTTACAGGTGAAGAAGAGCGTCCCAAAGAGAGATATAGGAAATAAAGGGGTGCAAACTTCTGTGATGATAAAACTCACTGTTGCGCTTGAATGTTTTCCCATATTTTTATCTAACCAGGAAAGTCCCATTGAGATGCACAACCTCTTTGGGGGGTCCTGGAGAGATTAGGAATGACACTCAACAAAAAAGATACAGCTCATTGATAGGGGTTGTGTGATAAGTTACACGTTTGTTTTTGTAATTGTAAATGAAAGCATAATTGAAATGATCTGATAAGTAAGTAAGTAATATTTATTCATATAGCGCTTTTCACAGACCAGAGTCACAAAGCGCTTTACAATGGTTATTTTTGGGAATTTGTCTCTCACTCCACACAGAGATGGGAGTGAGGTCACCAGTACAGGAGGTGCATGCCAGACCTATTGTACGTGTTTTTAAAGGGAAACCTGAGCACCCGGAGGAAACCTACGTAGACACGGGGAGAACATGCAAACTCCACTCAGAAAGGTCCTGTTCCGACCGGGATTCGAACCCAGGACCTTCTTGCTGAGAAACAAAAGTGCCACCATGCCGCCCAAATCTATGTACAGCCAAGGATATATGATCACGTCTCATACATTCATACAAGGCAGCCCAGGAATTTTTAAAGTCAAAAAGCAATGTATAATATTTCTAGTCAATGAGCATTTAATTGCGCTGTTTATCTAACTTGGTACCACCTCTGTGCACGCCTGCCCGTCACTGCCACCTTTTCTAATTATAAACCCAGGCCTGCAGTCTCCCAGAATGGAAGTTTAGCAGGGCCCATCTGTGTGCCTAAATTTAGCCCCCTCCCCACCCCTTGAGAACCCCCATCCTGAGACAGAGCCACCAGACGCGCGATCCTGTCATAGATAGACCCCCAACAAGAAAAAAAAGAAAAACACACACACACACGCACATATTCACACAAACTACCACGGCCAATGGTACTTTTCGCACTGTCCTTGAAGGCATCACACCATTCTTCGGAGGGAGACCACCACTGCTTTTGATTCAAGTTTGGGGGAATACAGGACATGACGCTTGGCTGTAGTTGACAGAGGTAAGTTGAGAGGTGCTACTAATACATGTTACTGTCACAATGTTAACCCACTGAAGTGAGGAATAGAACCATCACCCTGAGGCCTACGTGCACTGGCGCTATACTTGTGTTTTCAAACAGTCAGAAATGTTCTTGTTTGGGACACATTGGTTTCATGATTAATGATAACGCAAACTTGTTTTACTTATTATTAGTGGTTGTGTGTATTCTCAAATAATGTTTTCTATTTTCAAATTCTATTAATATCATTGTTAATCTCTGAGCTGGATATCTCACATGTGTTCAGGCAAGGCAGTTCAGGAATGTACAAGAGGCCTAAGCATCAGAGAGGATAAAGTTAGAATCTCATCCATAACTATCACACAATGCCCCGAGCTGTCATAGGGAATGTTAAAGGCTATTTCAGTATAATATAGAGCACTGGGGGATGGAGATTTCTGATCAGGGTCAAAAGACTAGTTTCTGTTATCATTAGAAATTGAAAATCGAAAACGTGTTTATTTGACAATACATGGCTTCCGGCGATTACAAACAAAGAATATGGCCAAACAATTCAGGACCAGGCGAGGTAAGTTTATTTGTATAGCGCAGTTCATACACAAGACAATGATAAATAATCACGGTATTCTTGGGTTTCAGGGCAGTGGCAAGAATAACAAACATAGGACCCTGGCGGTGCAGTCTGCCGGGTTTATACAGAGAGATATAGTAGAAGAAGAAGCGCGACAAAATGCCATCTTTTTGTGCGGTGTACTCTTGTAGCAACCGAGCAAATAGAGAGAAAGACGAGAGTTTCTTCCGTGTTAAAAATCACTCGAATGAGGCGGGCGAGATGGATCAAGGCTTTCCCAGTTAAGCGCCCCCTGCAGGCCACCCCAATGAAACGCAGCAATTTCTTCCGTGTTTCTTTCCAAAAATGCCCGAAATCAAGACTCTTTTGAGAATTAAGACTTTTACAACAACCGGTTTTCAATGGGAGTCAATCTGAATTGTCCCACCTCTGCTCATTCGCCCCCTACTGGCCAGTTTAATGAAACCCAAGAATATTAAAAAGATTGTTGTATCTTTTAACATTGTATTTCCAGTTGTACGCAGAGCTAAACAGACCGGCTTTTAGTCTGGATTTGAACATTGTCAGAGTAGAAGCCTGTCTCACATTTTCAAGAAGACTGTTCTAGATATGAATGTAAGCATGGCTGTGTAATCTTCAAGCACATCTACTGTACCTTTTGCACTGATCATGTTTACCTATTACACAGATCTGATAATAACAGCATTTTATTTTAGGCAAACATTAAGTCGCTGGTCTGTAACAGTCTATGTACAGTATCTAAGTGACAAACCAGCCCACATTGAGCCCACAAGTTGTATTTACTTATCAACTCGAAATATATTCTTTTCAACTGACAAAACTACTTTTTGTCACGGTTATTTGCACGTTAACTGCCAGTAACACGCACCAACTGTCTTATCATACAGTTTGTTTTATTGCTGTATGAATGGGGAAAACAATCATTGGTTTATTTTGCATTTTAAAGCTGGGATACCTAACTTTCTTTTTCTTAAATAATAGTCTAGTCTAATGACGTTTCAAAAATATGTGTAGATCTTAGAGACCCTTTTACCGATAAGTGTGTATACTGTACATGTAGTTTTAGGAAAGATCCCTGCGACTTATTACTCATTGTCACTTACTAAGAGTCGTCCTCTTTTTTAAACTTTTGTCTATGAATAATCTGGTCTAAAGATGTGATAAAAGCCAAAACATGTGTTTGTAAAAATAGGGATAGGACCAGTATGATTTTAGATTGAGGGAGTGAGATGGATTTTATTACATAGTTGCCTTTGTTTGTGGTTTGAAAGTTAGGTACCCCAGCTTTAACCTTAACTTAGTCACTATTTGATCAAATCAAGATTATTTCAACATTTATTCAGCATTTATTCCTTTCGGATTTCAGACAGTACAACAGACCTGTATGAATGTGCACTAGTTAATAAGAAATGTTTATAATTGATGTACTTATATGTTCATATCAGTGGGGGCGGGTCCTGGCTCAAAAGTGGCCAAAATGACGTGCGCTGACATGCTTGCAATACCACCCCGGGCCGATGGGGGTGGACCCGGAATAAGAATTAGCCAATGCTAACATATAGCATCTTCTTACCTCTCAAAAACGTCTTCACAGGATGGTCCAAAAGTTGGCTCTTGGCCCAAAGCTTCGTTCCACATGTGTGTCAATGCTGAGGGGGGTGAATTCTTTTGGACCACTCTAGTTTACTCGCTGTGAATTTTTGAAGTCACTCGTTTAAATGAATGGGGCTCGTGCCGGCTGACGCATGCACAGATGCGTTTTTTCACATTTTCCAGCCCCCGCGGCCATTTTGAATAATTCCATGAAAGCCCAATTTTTAGCCCATTAGTTAGAACAGCGGAGATAGGCGTGACTACGCATGTTAATGTATACAGGGTTTGTATTTATGGTTTTCTGCTACACCTACAGGATCATTAAAGTATCTATCTATCTATCATGTGACTAGCTTTACATACATTTTTGGAAGTGTAGCCTCCATATAAAAAGCGTATTGACGAGCCATATCTCATCTGAAAAAGAGCATTGTTGCCTCCCCTGCTGGAGAATGGAGTGGAACCAGGAAGTACGATCACATTAGTCCAGTTCTCAGGTCTCTGCACTGGCTTCCTGTGACTCAGAGATCAGACTTTAAAGCAGCTCTCCCCATGGTCTTGCACCAAAATACATCTGTGACATGATAGTCCCATATGAACCAACTGGGACTCTGAGGAGCACAGGGACTGGCCTCCTGCTGGTACCCAGAGTCAGGACCAAATATGGGGAGGTGCTGTTTCAGATTCATGCATCTAAAATCTAGAACACTCTTCCTGAAAATGTGAGACAGGCTTCCACTCTGATAACATTAAAATCCAGGTAAAAAACAGTGTCGTACAGCAGTGCATATACAACTGAGGGATTTCAACTTCACTCTTTTGTGCTGTGATTTTTTAAAGATTTTAATATCTTATGTAATTTTTTCTATTTTGTTTTGCACTTTGAGTTGCCTTGTGTATGAACTGCCTTGCCATTGTTTTAAAAGCAGATTTGACCAGTAATATAATACTTTCTTCCCTTTTTATGGTTTTGACGGGAAAGAGAACCCAGGCTTATGATTGCATTGTCATTAAACACAAATTTCCCATTGTCCTGAATCCTACCCCAGCACCACTGACCCTGGTTACACTATAGGGGCTTCAAATATCCACATTGTTATGATTATTGGAATACGGTTCAGCTACTTCGACCAAACAGTAATTCTAGTGGACAGATATTGTGATTGCTGTTATTACCCAGAGATATCCAACTGTTTGACCACTGAGTTTTGTTTATGTGGTGATTTTGCGTCCAACCACCACATAAACAATCTCAAGCGTATCATTTCTCTCTCAGATCACAAAACACGCTATGGTTGTTGAGCCAAACTGTCAACATGAGTTTGATGGACATTTCCAAGATCTTCTCCCTGCTGCAGCCCAAAGAGGAGGACCAGGACGGCGAGCAGAGCCAGGCCTTGAACAACGCGGTCAGCAGCGATGACGTGGCCCTGTTGTCCCGCCTTCTGTCCCAGGACACGTACAGAACATGCATCAACGCCCGCAGTGGATGGGGGGTCCCGGTCACCCCCCTGCGAACCGCCGCCGCACTGGGACACCTCCGCTGCCTGGAGCTGCTGCTGGAACATGGAGCGGAGGTGAGTTATTATGAGTAATTGAGTTGAACTTTTTAGGTAATAATGCGACCGTACATTTGAGAGGTTTTTTCGGATGTTAAACTTTGGTGATGGGAGTAATGGGTGTAATTATGTCTAATAACCAAGACCACCACAATGTTCCAAAATTCTAAGTAGACTGGTGGATCAGAAATGGCATAGACACGACTGACTTTGGTTTTGTTTTCTAATGATTTAACCAATCAAAAATAGTTTTGTTAGGTCTGAAAAGTACTAAACTTGGGACAAAAAATACTTGCTTGTGGAACCGAACTGTTTTACTAATAATATTAATGTATACGTTTTATATAGCGATTTTTAGGATGCTTCACGGGGTTGTTATTCATCTAATAGCCCTGGTGGTAATTATGTAGCCACAGCTGCCTTGGGGCGAGGAAACCAGTATGTTCCACCAATCGTTCACTCACCAATCTCTTGCCAAAGGGCACAACAACAGCTTGGCTCCACTTAACCTCTCTGGCTATAGCAGCGTGCCCAGAGGTCTCCCATCACAGTACCAACCAGGTTCTGCCCTGCTTGGCTTCAAAGGTCTGCCGGTCTTCACATGCTGCAGGTGGCGCTCGCAAGGAATTAGTTAAATGGATTGTATACATACATTTAAATTGTGTTAAGATCCAAACCAACACTGAACTAAATGTGGAGAAGGCTTTCAATTTTAGCCGATGCTTTGTTTATTTCAGTTTCCTTCTTCCTTTGGTAGATCACTTTTTGAGTCACTGTATCTACTTGAAGCTTGGAATTGAAATCAACCTCTATAATTTTGTTTTATATTTGGAAAAGGTCTAGAATAAGAATAAACTAGTGATAAAAAAAACATTTTATTAAAAATATTATTAGTTCTCCTACTAATCAAAAAAATAAAAAATGACATGGCTTTCTTCGACATTTGTTGTGTTCAAATGTTAGAATAAATTGAATGTCATGGTAAAAAGAGCAAAATAATAATTGTCTAAAGACGTTTCATGCATGCCTATTTTTTTTTTTTTTTTACTTTCTTATGACCTGTTTGCACCACATGCCAAGGCAAATTCCTAGTGTGTGAGTTACAATACTACTACTTCTGATTACGTGTTTTAAAATTCAATTGTGTCTGATTTTTCTCCTCTGTTCCTCGGCTGGCCCCCTGCAGATCGACAGCCTGGACGTGAAGGCGCAGACCCCGCTCTTCACAGCCGTCACTGGGAAACACCTGGACTGCGTCGCGTCTTTACTCAAATCCGGAGCCGACCCCAATGGCAGCCAGTACAACAACAGCTCCCCACTGCTTATCGCGGCCCGAGAGGGGGACGTGGAGATCCTCCGGGAGCTGCTGCGCTATGGGGCCGAGGTGGACGTCAAACCCAAAGTCCCCGAGTGGGCCGCCAACAGCAGCGCATGCAGGGGCCCCCTCTACCTCTCCGCAGTGTACGGGCATCTGGACTGCTTTAAACTCCTGCTGCTCCACGGGGCCAGTCCGGATTATAACTGCACGGATGAGAGGATGCTGGCCAGGATCAAGCAGCCCAAGACGGTGCTGGAGGTGTGTCTGCGCTACGGGTGCGGGGTGGAGTACGTGCAGACGCTTATAGACTTCGGGGCCGATGTGTATCTGCCCACGCTGATTGTGGATAAGAGCACCAAGCAGAACGAGGCGCTGGGGGTCCTGCTGCAGCAGCGAGGTGAGGGGGATGTGTGTGAGCAGGATTTCTATTGTAATGTGTTGTGTTGTTTTGTGTTGCATTGTGTTCATTCACTGAGTGCAAGAAGGAGCCCAACTGCAGGGCCTTCATCCTCACCACTGTCAGACTGTACAATGAGGGACTAGGACTGTAAACTCTCACTGTTATAGTCATTTAATTCCACAACCTGAGTGATACTATTTATGCCATATGTGTCTGATTATGTAGCCCATACATAATTTCACCTTTATAAAATGCTGCTACTTACAGTATCTTGAGTGGTTATACATGAAATTATTCTTATTCGTTATTAAATTATGATTAATTATTAAACTTTGAAACCAAGGACAATTGTATTAAAATTTGTAAAATAAGATAAGATATGATAAACTTTATTGATCTAACACTGGAGAAATTTACAGAAGAAGAAGGTCCTTTATTCGTCCCGCAATGGGGAAATTTCATGCATACATATATACATAGATATCACTTCCGCGCACCTTATAGGCAAAGTGGGTTAAGTGTCTTGCCCAAGGACACAATGACAGCAGACATAAGTAAAGTCGGTGGAGAAAGTCTCGTGATGAGCTCGAACCCACAACCTTCGGGCTCAAAGGCCAATACTCCACCAACTGAGCCACTGTCGTCTCTACTTGGCATAGATAGTATCACAGCACAAACAGTTATTGTTCTCTCACTGTAGTTTGTATTTGTATTTATGGCCTGTTACATCTTTGTCAGACATTAGTGACAGAGAAAAGACCACTACAAGAATAACAATAACCTATTTTTGATACTATAACAAAAAACAGGATGTCGTGGTCTGGTTTGTTCACAAGATTTTTCTCTTTCTGTTGATTATTCCATCTTTGACTATAATGTTCTCCATCCAAAAGAACATTTCACATTTCATGACCTGAATTCTATTAGATTATTAATAGTTATTTTGTCTTTGCAGTTTGTCCCAGGAGCCTGATGTCCCAAACTCGACTCGCGGTGAGAAAGTTGATCCCGTTCCCAGATAAAGCTGCGTCCATTGACAGTTTGGACATTCCTCTAATACTGAGGAACTACCTCAAGCACAGGCCCAACGAGACGATGTGAGACAAACATGAACTTTTTCTCGTTGCGTTCTGTTGAGGACAAGAGAGAGACACTTTGAAACGATTATTTGTACGACATTTATTTATAACACTTTGAAACAAACTAAAGCTACAATTTCTCAAACAGTACTCTGTCCACACAGAGATGGGAGCAGGGTCACCATAGAAGGCACATAAGAGTAGAGTAGATATTCTTTATGGTAGGGTAAACCGGAGCACCTGGAGGAAACCTACGCAGACACAGGGAGAACGTGCAAACTGCTCACAGAAAGGTCTAGAGGTGGAATCGAACCTAGGATGCTAACCACTGCACCACCGTGTTGCCCTATTTAGATAAGTTAATGAAATATTTTATACATTTTGCAGAAGTTTCCCTTTTGTTTTCTTCTCTGGGGCAATGTCAATCACCTGCTTGTTTTTAACAATAATATATACCTGGAATGTTGCTCAATTTGGCTTTTTGCTTTGTATTTATTATGTTAGGGTATGTATATACACGGATCTGACTCGTCTCTGCTCTCTGCTCTGGTTGGAAAAAGAAAAAAAATATCTATGCATATTATTACTACTCCCTCTTTGTTATGAGAAATATTGTTGCTGGAACGGTTCTTCTGTCTTCAACAACAACTGATCAATCTGTCCCTGTGTTAATATCCACGAGAAAGTGGTGTTATTCTTGTTGCAGTCTTAGTCTTTTGGCAAAATCAATAGTTTTAGTCGACAGAAATGCTCTATTGGTTGAATCCATAGTTGTATTGTTCTGTATTGTCTGTGATTACTGTATGAGGCCGGTGCAGATTTATGCTTTTGGAGTTTCATTATGGTCTGGTTTTGGGTTCTGGGATGTAAACACTTGGATCTATAGTCTTCCCTTGTTCTTTATGTATTCATTTTTTCAACAGTATTTAAAAAAACTGCACTTTTAGTCATTGTTTTCATTTTGTTTTAATTTTTTTAGTCAGAAAAATATCTTGACTAAAACGAATGTATTTTCTTACCACTGGTTCTCATGATGTAAAGTTATCAGGAACAAAAGTCAATATATTCAATCTCCCTCCTCTTCAATCATTTTAATTTTTTTCACAAAGAAAAATACACACAATCATACACAAGTTATAATGAAAATACAAACATTAAAAAAGGAGGAGATTGTCATCCATAGGTCCATGTAGGGTGGTCTAAAATACAGCCTATATGCACTCGAGAGCTGCTTGTATTATTATGGGGAGGGTGCTAGTTTCCCCCTATACAGTATCTACAAAAAAATATCAAGCAATCAAAATAATGGTGATTTTCCGCAGCCGATGGATCTGCAAAATTACAAGAGGAGCAAGTGCATTTGGGATGAAAAAATAAATAAAATCAGGTGCTTTTTGAGAACATTTTAGAAATAATATTGAGAGAAAAGAGCAAAAGGTCAATCTGATGATCCCCGGAGAGCATGCCAGATTTTAACTAAAAATCAGAGTGCCTTTTCCTCTTTATTGACTAAAAAACCAAGAATGATCATATGACTAAAGCAACATTATGAAACTGACCACTGACCGCCAGCCACGCACGCACCTTGCTCTCCTGTCACCCCTGCTGCACTACCGCAGCCATCCAGCAGAGGGCAGACTGGCAGCGTGAATCTACCGCACTGTTCCCATTTTTTACAGCAGTGAGTGGCGTCTGCTGTGTGCTGTCTCTTTGCTTCTGCTGCTGTCATATGTTGCAGGTGTTTTGCTGCTCCTCTCTGGTAATTAGGCTCTGCTCGTTCAATAAAAGCCAGAAGGATCGGACACATTGTGCACGCGTCACAGATCTGTCAGGGAAAAATAAATAAATAAAAAGAACACACAGGGGAGCCGGCAGAGAGGAGACACACTGGGACTTCTGGAACGTCACGGATCTGGCGCAGAGAGAACAATGAGACTGGAGGGTGGAGATGAACTATTGGCTAAAGAACTCTGGTGGTGTGTACTATCTGCTCTGTCTGGTGCATGCTGGGTAGCCTTGTGTGGTTATTCCAATGTGGTGTTACTGCAAATGGCAAAAAATCTGAATCTAGAGGCCTGTGTGGAATAATACTTCCCACCATCTGAAATGTCCCTATACTTTAGACTTGTATAGAGCTTTCTTAAATTATGTCTGATTAAAAATCATTAGTCAAGTTTTAAAATGTGTAAAATATTGTAATCCTTTAGTACTCATCATCACTGCTTTGTGTCATCTATGCGACTACTTTTCTCACGAAAGCTGGAGAGACAAAAGAAACCCGGCTTAAGCCTCTATATTTGGGATAATATTGACAACTACACTCTAAAAAGGCTGAATGAAGACCTTATTCATACAAACAAATTTATTAAGGATTATTATTTAATTATAAATAATACCCTAAATAAAAATCTAAGGACAAAAGTGACCAGTCTTTGTTAAAAAAAAATATTTGTGGTTTTGTTTTTAGCTCTGTATGTCATTTACACAGAGGTCACCACACATCAGTACCACAAGTCAGAATGTTTTTACTTACATGTTTTGCCACGTGTAAATATACAAAGTGCACTATGGAACTTCACTATGGCTTTAATGTTATTATTTATCTACAGCTGTTTTTACTGCTAAAATACTTGACTTTTTACAGTAAACATACTCACCTCTCCACAAGATATCATTTGCTTGTCTCCTGCGTAGATAGGAATGCTCAATGTCATAATGAGGAACATTCCGGGCAAAATTAAAAACACGTACTTTTTATGGACAGAAACAGGATGTCAAGGTCTGTCTTAAAGCTGCAGTAACCAACTTTTATTTGTACATGAATAAAACATTTGTCCCAAAAGAAGAGTTGTATAAAAGTAAGTATCTTTTTTGATATTGTTTTATCTTTTGCATACTTAAAAAACCTTGAACCATTTGACACTTTGGGCTGAGAGCTGAGGCAGTGTGGTCCTCTCTCTTTCACTTTTCTGACAGAGGCCAACAATACATACATGTGAAAACTAAGGATGGAGCCAAACGTTTTGAGAAAGATATCCGGTTAGAGATATTTTATTACTTAGTTACTTTTACAGAGGAAATTTAGGTTCCCCAACTTTAAAGCGGTCTACCAAATTATGCCAAATGATATAATACTTAACCTTATTACAGCTATCAAGTCAAATTGATTTATACTTGGCAATCTTATGATGTTAAAGGTGTTGATAAAGGATATAATAATGACTAAAACAAAATTGCTCTCAACTCTCAACGCACAGAATTGTCTTTATATAAAATATTCACACTGTTATTTTACGTTACTTCTTAATATCAGGTCAAGAGATATTTTATTTTTGGTTCCTTATGAGCTAGAAATTTGATACATGCTTTTTTATGCTAAAGTTATGATTTTATTTACGTAATTGTTCATGTATGTTGTGATATAAACTCCTCATTCTTACTGTTCTGTACCTTGTGATACAACACTGAAATTTACCCACAGAGGGACAAATACAGGATAATCTTAACTTAATAAAAAGTCATTTAAATCATAAAAAAACACAAGTTAGACAGTGTGGAAGTGTGTAGTTTTCAGAGAGTCCCCTTCAAACCCGCGGTGCTCGGACTTCCCATTCCTGACATGATCTCATGCTGTTGGGAATGAAACCAACAAACAGGAAGAGACTGGGAATGAGCCCAGTACAAAGCTTTTCCAGACACACGGCGACTCTTAGTTCTGTAGAGGTTTTATTTTCAACAAAAGGTACAGCTATATCAGATATGGATTTTTCTTTTTTACAGCGAAGTACAACATATTCCCAGTGCTTCAGATATTACATCAAAACATATAATGTACATAAACGGCCCACATCTCCGCTCTCCCATTCACAGTTTCTGGATTTGAGTATATTTTTGTCAGGTTTGTCACCATTTCTCAACAACAAATAGTATACCGAACTGAAAGGCCAGCAATAAATCAAATACCAAATGAGTGTAATATATGGTGAACGAAAGAACATGGGATCCAGACCTCATAATACATGGTAATATATACAATGGCAGGATTTGAAAATGGCAGTCTTCTTGTTGTCGTCTTTGAACGCCAATAAACATGGCGGATTGAACACTTTTAAATGTACCCTGACTTCAACATGTAACTGCAAAATGTTAGGGTCCCTTATACATCTAAATAGAGAGAGAAAGTGTAAGAAATAAATTGGGATTATAGTCCAATAATTTGGCGGATTGTGTGGCTTAATGTCCTCTCAGCTCAAAATGAGAATTACATAACAAAATAAAACCCCAACATATACAGCATACCCTTTATTAACGCATTCAATAAATACAATAAGATATCCTGTGTAGCCATCTAGTCCATGATATGAATTACAATGTGTCTTATCTCCGGGTTATTTTTAGCTCAACCCAGAAGTCTATTCCTTGCTCTAATCTATACACAACGCGCATTGACCGTTGCAGTAATATATAGCTCCTATTTGGTGCGCTGTGGGGGGGGGGGGGGGGGGGGGGGGGGGGGGGGGAGTAAAACATGATACCCGTTTTGCCCTTTCGCGGTTTGTGGCATGCCCGAAAATAACTACCAAGATTGGACCAAGGACGGAAATGTTACAAAACTATAGACATGTTATAGTGAAGACAGCAGCAGCGCCTTTTGTCGACGAGTGATGACAAATAAAGCTACAGGATTTTGAATATGTAGTGACACGTAGACGTAATACTGTATATATGACTACAGTGTTGTGCAAAGGCTTTGGATTAAAACTATATTTATGGGAGGATATTAGATTAAACTTAATACCCTTCAGAATCATTTTTTTATTAACAAAAAACCAATGCATAGTATTCGTGTTCAGTGGGAGGAAAGAAATCCGTAAAGGGGAGCTATCTCACTGTTTATGCGAAAATAAAAAAAGGATTCATTTTTGCCAATTTGAGTTAGTAGTGACCGAGTGGCTGTATGAGTGTGCTTCTTCATGGTGCTTTCATGTGAAAACCTGATCCTGGCAGACCTCAGAGGGTTAGTACTGTGCTGGCCCAACTGTCATTGTGTCCTTAGGCAAGACACTTCAGCCACATTGCCATCCTAAGAGTCTGGTGTGTGTGTGTGTGTGTGTGAATGCTTGGTGGGGGTCAGAGGGTCCGATGGCACGTACTGGTTGCCTCGCTTCTGTCATTCTGCCCCATTGCAGCTGTGGCTACTGTGGTAGTTTATCACTGAGTACGGAGTGAATAAATAATTCCATATGAAGCGTCTGTAAGTATTCAACAATAGCGTTTAATGAAACTAATGCACTATTATGAATTAGTTTGAGGCGACAGTGGCTCAGTTGCTAGAGCATTGCCCTTTGAGCCTGAAGGTCGTGGGTTTGAGCCCACCACGGCTGTGGCTACAGTAGTAGTTTAGCACCACTGTGCATGGAGTGAAAGAATAATGACATGTGAAGCGTCTTTGAGTGTCCAAAAAGGTGCTATATAAAACCGATTCATTATTATTATCATTGTTATCACGGATGTGTCTTCAATTCTATGGTCAATTGTTTTGTAGGTTTTCTGGGGCGTGTATGGGTTAGTAAACAATTGATATCATAGCATCCTAGCGACCCCTCTGATAGAAAGTAAAGCCATTCTGCCTCTGCTAAGTTCAAATTGGCAAAAATATCAACTTTTTTTCTCCACATCAAAAGTTGCATAACGTCCCTTTAAACAACACATGTTTAAATAAGTTTTGACTCAAAACGCACAATTTTTTTATTATTGCAAGACGTCAGGTCCAGTACTTTGAAAATGAAAATAACGCCATAAAGTCTTCACTCATATTGTTTCCAGTCTTAACCATGGAGCTACCATTTGCACAGGACTGTAGCTGGAATGTCTGGGGGGGAAGAAAACCTTTGTGACTAAATGAAACGATCTGTTAAGAATTGTCTTAAAGTCTCATGCAAAATATTGGATGCCACAAGCATGCATTTTTACCTGGTACTGAGGTCTATTACCACACGCTTAACTGGAACAACATTCGCTTCCAAATTACCAATATCCAAATATATGATCTGTTCTTTGTACACTATTTACAGTGTGTAGCTGTTAAACGTTAAAATAGATGATTCTTCTTTTAATTCGTAATATATTTAACTAACTAATGACCTACTACATTGTCAAATAAAATCTCTCAGCTGGAAAAAAGCAAGTCGAAAATCATAAACTTGTGCAAGACGTTACAGCGATGGTTGGATGTATTGTGATAAATATGTATGTATCTCTAGTCAGACAGCACAGTATCTACTTATATGTTTTTTTATTTTTTTCATATTGTCTCGTCCGTACCCTAGGGAATTCCAAAGCGTATGTTTTGAGATGGAGAGATGCAGTTTGATACAGACAGGGGAGAATACATGACCAATTGAAATATGCCCATGAAATTGAATAGATAATCACTAGTGGTAAACTGGAAGGCACTGTTAGTCGCATCTCTCCCCTCGGCAGCAGATCGGGCCAGCAAGTGCGCGTGACTATGTATATATGTATGTGTCAAGTATGTGCCTGCATGCTTGTAGTGGGATGTTATTGTCTGTCACGGTGGAGAAAGGAATTAGGGAGTGGTAAAGTGTGACGTTTTTGCATGGGACCTGAGGTTATAATGGCCTGGGAAAACCACAGCGTTATGTGCTGTGCCAAGACCAAGATATGGGGGCTTATTGTTCGTTGTATAATCTTACTGCTAACCGTCTACCAGTGAGCTCCACTATTATTGGCTTGGAGAAGTTTGAAAAAAAATAAAAAATAAACAGAATAGTGTGTGTCTTATTTGAACTCTTTGATTGAGAGGCAAGAATACAGAGCAGGGGGCTGTGAATACCCATTCGTCAACTAGTCGAACGATTATTGCTGTATTACGTCATCTTTTCAATGTCAATGTTATTTTTATATATAATAATGCCACTGTCTTTTTGGTTTAAGATTTGTATAGTCCAGTTCAAAATTCTCATAACCCAAATTCTGACATGATTTATGGTGCTGTTAACTAATCGCTGTGGTCCTAATGCAGAATCTTTCTTTTAAAATCATCCATTTGCATCTCCACAAAGTATATATCTATGCATATATATCGGTATTTATACCAATAGAATAACCAAGTAGTTTTTTGTGCCATTTGGTGTTTTGGTTTTCAAAAATGACCAAATCAAAAAGCAAAATGAGCTTAAATTCGCAAATTCGCAAACATATCAACGATGAAATTCACTTGATTCAAATCCCAAATAGATTTTTCTGATCCGAGGCATGTACGTTCCATTCTATTCCTTTAAGCAGTTTTATAGCAACTTGGCGGAGAATATTTTGCTGCATTGCTGGTTGGATAAAATACTCATTATATTTTGCTTGACATAACACATACACGTAACTTCTTCTTACCTCAGAGACTTGAAGAAAAGGTTTCAAAAATACAAATCAGACGCCAATAGTAGTGGAGGACACTATCTAAGAGACCAGCAGCCAACTCATCCCATTTCTCAACAACCTTTTACTGAAACATAAATAGTACAACATACAAAGTAAGTCTAATGTTGTTCTTTTCTCCAATAGATTATAATACGCCTGAAAGCCAGGCCAAAACAAAAGACATAGCAGAACAATATATATAACTTTGTTCATAGTGAATATATATTATGATCACATTGCACAAGTTGTCTGTATATGCACTGTCCGTAACATAAAATCTGTAACGTGAGGTCAAAATATACTTCATAAAGCATGGACAAACCTTGCACTTACATTCCCACAGAAAACAATACAGTTTTATAAATAAACTTCCTTCAGTGTCTTCTTCCTATAGGGGGCGGTATAACGTAACAGCATATTCAAAAACAGCAGCGTAAGAGTCTTAAAACAAATACATGAGAACAGGCCATGTCTAGTGTCAGTCCTAAAAGAGTGAAATCTATGGATGACATGGAGAAGAATTCAAACAGAGGTTTTTGCCCATTTAAGTGTTTGTAAATCAGAATACTGCGTTTGAATGAGTGGCGTCCTCAGAATGTTCTTATGTTGGTCAGTAAGAAGTGTGGTATATCTGACTCTATTTTGTAATCATCATCTCCACTAAGTTAAGCTGAATTCTACTTTGTTGTCCCCATAGTGAAATGTGTCCTCTGCATTTGACCCATCCGGCACTGCCACAGTCCAAAAGCTAGAGGATTTCACCTATTTTACATGGTTTTAATGGGGGACCTGGAGCACCTGGAGGACACTGGAGCAGAGGAGAACATGCAAACTCCACTGAGATTCGAACCCAGCAGTGTAAAATTATGTACCGGTATGTTTTTAAAACTTGAATACGAGCCTTTTTGTATGTATATCGTGGCAAATTATGACACATTTAATTGATAATTACTAAAACATAGCTGTGCAAACTGTGAAAGTGTATTCTACCACCATAATTTAACTTCCTTTGTGGAGCATTTAAGTAGCAATCAGTTACTTTTTAAACCAGACAAGCAATGGTTAAACCCACTCCTGCTGCTCCCTGATTGGATGAAATCATTCTAAATCCTTGAGGCCATTGGTTTAACAGCTCTCCTCCAGCAAATCATCATTTTGGTAGTTATTCTACTGTTTTGAATACATTACCAATGGAAATGATTTACTGTACGTGATAGTACAGTGTGCCTTGGTCAGCAATATGTATTTTTTATTTATTTTTTAAATACACTGACATCACCTTTAACTAGATATTAGACATTAGAAAAACTGGCAACATCTATCACCCAAGTACTGACTCTTCTGATCAGTTACGGCTATATAATATATTATTTATGCAGCCTGGTAAATGGGGCCAAGTGCTCATATAGGCAGCCTCGTCTCCATCAGCCTATCACAGGGCAGCTGTGGCAGGAGTAGTAGATTCTCCATCACTGTGTATTAAGTCAATAACAAATGCAATGTGAAGTTTCTTGAAGTGTCCGGTGTATATAAAACCGACGTATTGTTTTTAGTGACACCACTCATTCGCACACAGCATCTGCTTACAAACATGAGTGTGTATTAGGATGCCTTTTTACCTCGGCGCCTCTTTGCTACATATGTATTCATCTTTCCCTGCACTATAGGTGACAGACTTTTTGCATGTGCACTTGTACTCACCACACACACACGCACTCGCGCACACACACACATATGCACATACTTACACACGTCTTACGCAGCCTCGTCCACCATTTCCCCTTGTGCTGGTTTCGCTCTCTGTCTAAATCCCTGCTCCAAATCTGTTCCAAATCTTTAGAGAATTACATTTGCATGTCTTTAATGAGGCGTCTTGAATGTGTTTTGTCTTTTCCCCCGCGTTCTTTCGCAAAGCTTGAAAAAGAAATAATGAAGTCGACCCAGAGGAGCCATTTCTACAGGTGACGCAAATGCACGAATGAAACATAACTCTTGTATCTTGGCCCATGCATCAACTTCAACTTCTAGAGGTAGGATTTCGGTGGTGCTTTTCAAAAATGCGAGCCAGTGGGAAAGAAGCGCCAGCCAGCACAGTGCTACAGGGGTGGCCTCTGGGGATGGGAAGAGTCACACAAGTGCACCATTGCCTGCCCAGCTCTAAATACCCTGTCAAAACTGCTAAAAGATGTAAATATTCTATTGATGTGCCCACTATTGACCTGTCCGTATCATGGCCATTGGCATAGATCCAAAGGGATGAAGTGGCAGCTATGAGCAAGCAGATGGAATTCTATGACTAAAAGCTGGCACTGGTACAAATTAGGCCTGTAATTATTCATTTATATTGAATAGAAAGAAATAATTGAAAAAACATGTCCTGATTTGGACGCATCAGCCAGGTCAAAAAAAATGTTGTATATAAGAATTTAAGCTGATTCTGTGACAGGACCTTGTTTCAATACATTGACTTTGAAACAAATCTTACATGGAAAAACCCAACAATTGAAGAAATATTTTTGGAGCTGTACACATCAAGCAAAAAGGGAAAGGTAAGGCTGTATACAATATCATACCATTTCCGCACGGTCCTTCATGAGCCCCGTTTCAAGTTCAACACATTCACACACTCTCACATAGCAGCACATATTGTAGCATTTTTGAGACACAATCATGGACTTAACAAGGGCCCTGCAGTGTGTGTTTTTGCTTTACCCAGTGACGAGCCCAAACAGTCAAATTAAATAATAATAGCGCCACAATCTCCAGGACATTCAAATGGGTACAAGCTTCAAATTCCAAACAAAATGGGGTTAGTATAGAGAGAGTTCATTGTGAGTGTTTGTATGTTCCGCCATTGGTAAAATCCATTTGCTGGTTCCTTAACAGCATTTCTAATAGTCCTTTAAGTCCATTCACATACATGTGGTTATTCTTCATTGGGGATAGAACAAGATGATCCAGTGTTTAGTGCTTCTAAGAAAAATAGCTGGTCCTTCAAGAAGAAGAAGAAGAAGAGAGTTTCTATTTCTTAAATGGGGCTAATCTACTAAAATTTTGCCAGAATGGTGCCTGGCCTCTTTTGGATTGACTGAATTCAAAAACCTCTCCTTGTGCCATGTCCTCTGGTAAAACGTCGTACTGCCCCGCGCTGAGGGGGTCCTGTGGGGGCGGGTACGAGGGGGGCGTGCACCGGTTTACACCTGAAGGAAGGAACAAAAAGCCAGAAGAAAAGAGCGACACACATACATACAAACACACACACGCACACAAACACATACAGAGCGGACCAGAGGGGTGCAAGGGTGTAAGGGGGGGGTAAGTACAAGGGAGTTGGGGGTCGAAGGAAGGAAGAAGAGAAAAGTGGCAGAAGAAATATTGTCAGTGTGATATTCATTACAGACACAAAGGACCTGTTTGAACAAGCAGGCTGGACTCACAGTAACACCAATTATTCTAAACGTTGCCTTGATTTTCTCACGCTAGACCACGGGCATTAAACTTGTTCCAGAAAGGACAGTGTGAGTGCAGGCTTTCATCCGAACCAAGCAGGAGCAGACTAGACCCAACTGAGCCCAGTCTTAACCTCAACCCTTAAAATATCTATCACTATATTAGATTTTGTTATTATTTGTATATGTAAATGTCATGTATTTGTGTGTATTAGGGACCAGGTCTGCAAATAAGCTGTTAGCTATATACTGTAGCCTATGAACATGGCATCGGTTACCTGTAACATTGCTTTTTGTTCTGTCCCTGTCAAATATACATATCATAATAATAATAAATAAGGTGAATAAAAGACAAGCTCAAACCTGATTATATTTAAAAGAATGTTTATAAAAGATGTATTGAACAAAATATGTGGAAGAAAGAGAGTGATGCCTTAAGCTCAGAGCAAATAGTGGGAGTTAGGTGTAGGGTCGGAGAGTGTTTGGGCCTGTGTTGTCAGTGTGTGTGTGTGTGTGTGTTTTGTGTTGTCTGTCTCATCCCATTGGTGGTAGTATTGTACCACTGTTTGTAATGTACCGTTGTATGATTGAGAATTCTACAGCATGATATTGAGGAAACAGTGTACCAGTGAAGGGGAGTTAGAATTAAATGATATTATAAGTATTTTCTTCATCCAAAGTTTATGTGTCTCTTATATTGATATGTAAAGACGTGTATTGTGCAGGTTTGAAATAAATAAATAAATGAGCAGAGTCTGGTTGAGTATAATCTGGTCTGCACTGCTTGGTTGGAATGAAAACCTGCAGCCACACCGTCCTTTTTGGCATGAGCGGGACACCCCTACACTAGACAATGATCACATTTTTATTCACTTATATATATATATATATATATATATATATATATATATATATGTATATATCACTCATGACTCATTTCCCCTCTTATACCTACCTCCGTCATTCGCTACTTGCACAATACTATAATGCTTCTCGCCTCGACGGGGTGCAGCGGGTAGCGGGTAGCTGTAGATGGTAAATTAATCTGTGCTGTTGTTTTGATCGCGAGTAAGGAGACTGCTAAAGAACGAGAAAAAAACAACATACATTTTTTTGCGGTGTTTTTAATTGCTCAGAGAAAAAAAGCGAATTCTAGGAAAGAACTTGTACTCGAGCAGACAACACACGTTTATGCTCCAAGTTGTGTTGCTGTTGCTGCCGAGGATCAACAGCGGTGATGAATCTCATATATAGCCCCCCCCCCCCCCCCCCCCCCCCCCCGAGCTCAAAGCATTATGGGTAATGTGCAGATTGCCAAAAAAAACCATTTACTTTTGGGGTGAGACGGAGGGCGCTCAGGAGACATTTTTTTAGTATGCGGATTTACAACTGATGAAGAACTCTTTAAAACTTGTTGTGTTTATATTAATAATTCACCTACACATTGACACATTATCAGACTTTTGTAGAATGATATAATGTGGTTAATTCTGCGACTATGGCACAATAATTGAAATAGCTAATGGAGAGAGAACAGAAATGCCACTCAAACGCAGACAACGACATCCTAAGTTTACCAAAACAATAATTATCATAACCCTATGCATTTATTGATTGACTTTTCATTCAAGCAGAAAGTATTTACAATATTTCAATGTCTTTGTTTTCAAGACATTCTGTGCTTACGGTATATACTTACACATGCAAATATATAAACATAAATATAAAATCAATCCTAGTTTCACCATGTGTTATACAGTATATTTACAATTTTAATATGCAATCAAGTCATTTTAGATGTAGCTGCTATATCACTTCCATTATGTATATATTTGGCTTCTGTACATTTCACTTCACGGTTTTATCTATATATTATGACTGTCACTTCCCATGCTTTTCTCCTCATTCTATTACATCTATCTGTTTGTATATAAGTTCTGATTGGATCCAACCTGCTGTGTAAAACAGGACCAAGGACAACACCGAGTCATGCTCCACAGAGAAACAAGCGTGTGGATGATCACCATGGATCTTCTACAAATAAATAATAAAAAAAAAACCTGTGGCCGTATGATGGAGGCTGAATTATTGGAGGGAGTGGAATTCAGCTCTAGCGATGACGCAAGACGCTTTTCAATCAAACCTAAGCAGACACAATCAAATATATAATGATAATGAAACAGCACTGACGCAGGAGCTGGGTGTAGTGATAGCGGAAAAAAACTGTTAGGACTGTTGGGAGTATACAACAATAACTTTTCAGATGACAATGCCACGTACTATTTATAATTCTTTTAACCGTTTTTTGTTATCCTATCCTATGAAAATATGTTATGCAGCGTGACCACATCAAATGTCTATAACAGTCGAACAATGTGATATTCTGCCCGTACATAAATGGTCACTTTCAATGTCAATAAATACTTAAGAAAATCGATAACATTGTTTTTTGAAAATATTGCAGACTGTAGATTTGGGCTGTATGTCTTTTTACACCAATCGTTGACAGAATAATAATTACATAGTTTTTCCCATGAAGATTAAAGCTGGGGGACCTAACTAATTTCATGAAAAATGCATGTTGTTTGAATCAATTGTAAGATAGATATTCTTTTTGCTTAAAATATAACTGGTGGCGCTCAAACACCTGAGAAGCAAGATGCAAAGATCCATTGCAGTGGTGTGAAAGTTAGGTACCCCAGCTTTAAACCGGGGGGGGTCCTCGGTTCACCTCTCTTTATGAACGGTTGGAATTGCTTCATGTATTGTATAAGCTATTGTATCGTAGCTTCATGTATTGTATAAGCTATTGTATCGTAGCTTCACGTATTGTCGCTGATTTCCATTTTGTCGTGGTTTGTTTGAAAAGCACCTTGGACACTCGAGAAGACACGAGCAGAGAGGCAACAGAAGCCGGCCATGAAACTACAGCCTACGATGTTGTTTATCTACGAGTCTACAAGCATCACAATTAGAGGCTGGTCAATATTTGGAGACGACAGATCCAGGAAGTTGCCATGGCATCTTGTCAGGGACATCTTGCCAACCACCGTGTTGAAGGCTGACATCAGTTTGTGTTAGTAAAACCTGATTGCCTTGGATGGTTGAAACAATGCAAACAGATGGGTGGGAGACTTGGTGGGAGATGGTTGCTACGTGTCCAAATTGTCTTCTCTCATTTCTTTTTACAGCATGTTTTCAATGGTGCTATGCAGTTGCCATGGCATCTTATTGTGCTAGCTCTTGAGTGGAACGCTAATGGTATATACCTTTATCATTTTCAAACCATGTCCATACAACATGGCCCTCTTTCTCAAGATGAAATCTACAAATGAATCTGAAATTCAAGAGAGTAGTTCACCTTGTGCCAGCCGTGTACACTTACAGCACAATCAAAAAACACAAAACATATGACTGACAGTAAGAGGGTCCTGTAACCTCAGCTTATAGACATTTAAAACTATTTTGAATCATGGGTTATGGTCATGCTTAAGTGGAGGGTAGGCAAAACACCACTAATGTACAGACATCTAGTCTAGCTCTGACAATGACTAAAGATTTAAAGAGTCACAACAGCAATTTTCACATGTGGGTCCCCTGTCCGTCTTGCTTCGTCAGGAAAATAAACTGGTCTGACAGCGTTTTCTGGTACTGAGAAGAGCAGGCAGCTGTGGAGGTGTTAGTTTAGTGTTTGAAGATTATACAATGAAACAGCTTTTTTTCCCAGGCACTTGCTATTGTCAAAATTATTTCCAATAAAATAGTTTCAGAGATTTGAACAAGTGCACTTTGTGGCAGTTTGTGAAAGTCCACAGCAGTCATTGGACAAATACAAACATTGTTTTTCCTTAAAGAGACAAAACACGCTTCAAGTCTGTTACTTCTTAGAGCTAAACAATATGGAACCAATTTCATATCTTGATATTCATGCCAAATATTTTGAGCATTTTTGTCGCTGGTTGTGTTCAGCGGTTTGATCCACAGTATGAGAAATAAGTTTTGCTGTTGGCTGCCCAAAGCTGTACAGGATGTGCAGGAGGGGAACTATATTGTGTCTTTTTAGAGATACAGACACAATAGTGATATTTGGTTCAGGCCTACTACATGTGATAATCTAAAACACTGTGGCTCCGCAAAACATGTACCTTCAAAACATATGCACATTACTGATCGGTCTAATAAAGATGAGGTGCTTTGCTAATATGGTTAACTTTGTGTATACACGCTTCAAGACACATTGAGTTGCGTGAAAAGATAAGGGAAATTGTTTAAACTGCCCACAATTTTTTATGATTTTACGATTTATAATGCTCAGATGGTAGCAGCAATTAGCTTAATGCTGAGTCAGTAAATTATGGCTGAAAAATGAGAAAAGCTGCTGTAGTTCAGTACAGAGAAAACACTGCGCTGTAACTTCCCATTTGTTAAACAAGTGTGACATGAGGCCCACATGCTTCCTCACTGGTCCGGCCCTTTAAACTGAAGCATGCAGAAATCCCTCTGTCTTTTCATAGATGCTTAACAGCTACTTTGTGGCTAGTATATCGCAATACTCGCGTGTGCACCGGCAGACAATTAACTTTATATTCGGCAATAAAGTGGGAAGGCATAAAGCGGCTTGACTTGGCTAGCTTACAGAGCGCAGAGCTACTCTAGGTCCATTCATAAAAGAAAATAAGTCGTAAAAAATTAAAAGGGGTTGGGTTGAGGAGGAGTAAACAGCGATGAGAAGACAGAGCAGACCAGCCAGAGAAAAAAGAAAAGAGGGAATTCACCTGGTATCTTCTTGTTGCCTCACCTTTCTGTTTGGTCACCTTACGCACGGTCATGGCCGCCTGCCGCTTCTGGTACTCGGAGATCTCAAAACCTACAAAAACAGTACATGTGATCAAAGGATGTGGGACCTGTATCCGATATTAAACATTGAGAGCAGTTTAATAGAGACATTCCCACTGAGCAAAAAACAGTTTTTGTTTTGTTTTAACACAAATAGCTACAAAGGCTGGTGTGCATGAACGACTCGGTATTTAGCCCGTCTCGGTAACTAGTCCTGCATAAAACAACATGAGTAACAAGAGTGAAGCTCTTGTCACACAGGGCTTTTGTACACGCTGCTCTTTCCTTTATAAAGTTGTCCTTGTAAAAATATGTTTGATAATGTTTATGTTACGCATGCCATAGTCTATTATAATGCGATTACCCGGGGTACTGGGTGCACTGTGTCGTCACTTTAGAAAACTTATTTTGAAAGTTGGAAGCTGTGTTTTGGCTTTCTGTGCTTTGTCTTTCTCGTGGTTAATAAACTGATATGGGTTCAAAAAACTCTCCTCCCTTTCCCACTGTCAACAGGAATGAAAAACCACAAGTATAAAGGCCTATGGATGTTGTGATTTTACAGCGTTTTAATGTTGACATTACAGGATGTATACGCAGACATGTCCAATCTCACAGTGCAAACACAGTGGCCAAATCAACATAAGCAGTGCAACACGGTATAGAACTGATGGCTTAGTTCAACCTGTATTTCATGCACGTATTACCCCACCAAGGGGTAATGTGAACGCCGGTGTGTGTGTGTGTAGGTAGGATTGCGCAAAAAAACTACTTGACAGACTGTGCTAAAATTTGGTGTGCAGATTAAATGTGACCAAAGAAAGACTCATCATAAATCGGAATTATTCGTGACCTTGGCGGGGTATGCGCTTTCCGACTGCATATATTTTAGTTTTCATGGTTCAATGTTGACCATTCATGTTCAATGTCCTTGACCCAAGAAACAGCCTTCCACTTGTTCTGTGATGTGCTGCTGCATCATGAAATTGGTTCTGACCCCATCCAGAAGTTAAGTAATTGCTACAAGTTATACAGCACAACTTTTAAATCCTGATACAACTAAAACTGGTGCCACCATTATTTATATTAACACAACAGTGAAATGAGAAATAGTTATCAAATGTAAAAGCACTGTACTCGACCAGTGAGATAACCAATTACGCAGTGTTTCGTGCAAAAGCATGCGATATGTAGCGACCCACCAGGGTGAATACAAGTGCATAACAAATGGATTTTCCCATCCCCAGCAGCATGTCCTTCTTTCTGATGTCTTGGGTTTTACTGTCCAGGACTAAACCAAGGACAAAACCAGGACTACACGATAAAAGTAAACAAACAAGGATGAATAATATTCCAACTATGGTCTGAACTTTTCTTTATAACCGACCAAGCGATAGAGAAAACCACAACAATCAAAGGATTCCACTCACACAAGTCTATTAGAGACCTTTGAGCACTTCAGTTAAAGAGCCATTATGTAAGTTTGTGTCTGTGTGTGTCTGTATGTGTGTGTGTGTGTGTTTAATGCCATTTTAATCATCCTCACAGCCATTCATCATACATTATTCCAGGTCACTGATTTCAACAAAAGCAGAACCAAAAACTGAGAAAATGTACAGTGTGTCAGAACAAAACAGAGACCATTACTTTAATACTTGTCCGAAAAAATGTTAGGGGCTGGATTGCATTGAAAATTTAAAGCTGGGGTACCTAGATATACATTTCATAAATAGTATGTTCCATCAGAAAGACATTTTGGCAATAAATCAGAAAACAACAAGCTGTAACCGATTAGAACATATATACAGTATATATAAAATCTCTATACTTGTGAGAAAGTGATTTTTTGACATTTTAGGCTGAGAGCTGATTGTATTTTTTACTTTAATGTCTTACCAAGTTGATCTAAAGATGTGTCAAATGGCCAAAAATTACATGTATGGGAAAACCAGTGATATAACTGTTTTGACTTCAAGATACTAGTTGTTTTGAAAGTTAGATATTCCAGCTTTGAAGTAAAACAATACAAACAATCCATGAAAGTAACATAACACTTGTTAAATTCCTATGCATAGAAGATGAAAAGCAAGCCTACTGTGGCCTTCATAAATAATAAGCAAAGCCAGAAAAAACCAAGACTTTCAAATACCGATTTTCTCGTCCTCCAGCACCATCTTCCTCTCCTCGTGGAAGGCCCTGAGCCAGCGGATCTTCTCCTCCGGTTTCTTGGCCAGGAAGATGTGGAGCTCCTCGCTGTCCTTGTTGCACAGTTTAAAGGCGTTCTTCACACTCACGTTGAAGTCGTCATCCCGCCCGTCTGTCGCGTCCCGCACATCATAGCGGTCCATGTCGATGCGGCCCTTATAGTACAGGATGTCCCGACGAATCAGATCCTGCAAAACAGAACAGGTTTTGAGATTGTTTTAATTGAGTTGGGGGTCTAAGGACAGCGAAGATCCGGGATATTAAAGAACATTTATGGATATTGTTTATCCCGCTGCCTGTGGACCAATGGATCAATTTGTTTGTTATTATTGTCATTTCTGTGTTCAAACTGTTTGATTCTCTGATCTGTTTTTGAGGAATAGACAGCGTTATAAAGGCTTAAGACATGAGGACTGTACAAAAATAAATTATAATTTTTAGATTATCAATGCGACAATTTGTGATTAGACGTTAGAATACTGTTCAAAGTTGAGCTGCAGTCACGTCACAGCGCAGCATATAATTAGAATAAAGAGTGTGATAAAATTACGCTGACTTCAAAAATGAAAACATTAGAGCTGCACAATCATATTTTAATTTTAGTTAAATTGCAATAATCATTTAAGATTGATTTTAGTCCTTTGCAATGAAAATATACCTTAAAACAAGACATAGGGCACTTTTTCCATTGCAAAAACCTCACATTTCTAGTAATAATTAATTGTTTGTGTAGTTAATCATTGATAGTACTCAAATAATTTCATTTCAGAATTTTGTGAATCACAACTGCAATGTTTGTAATAATAATACATCACACTTTTCCAACATTGTGCAGCCTTTGAAAACATACGTTGCTTGAAATAATTATAAATCACACTCAACATAATTGTTCAAGTTGCAAATCTTACTTTAATGGAATAGAAACACACTTATAAAGAGATACACACTATTAATTTCTAATTAACAATAACATCACAAAAATGTCTCACTAGAATGTGCATGAGCAGATGACCTATATACAGTCTTATCCAGCCTGCTTCAGTCCAAGTGCTTCAAAAACAAAATCGCAATCCAGAGACACGGAGAGAGAAGCCAAGTTCACGACATAAATCACTGTTGTTTTTTTAATGGCTTACAACGAGAACAATAAGAGCGCAACTTGTTACAGCTGTTTACGGCTGAATCGAACCGCCGGAACAAGGCTATCACTCTCAATCATTTACATACTGTAGAGTAGTTTACAATAAAAAAATTTTCTGTTATACTCATAACGCCAACATCGTTCCCAACTGTTTCAACAAAATGTATGATTACTGTATGAGTGATAATGGCTCATACACTGCAATGTGGGTTAAGTGTCTTGCCTAAGGACACAAAAGCAGTTTGGCACCCTACTCCAACCTCTAACCCAATGAAATATTGATCCCAGGCAGACAACTTTGACATTGATCCTGGACTGTTAATTATTAGCTGTATGTGAAGGATATGTTTATTTTATTTTTTTGAGATGAGAAAATAGTTTAGTTTTAATAGGTTGAGCTTTTGGAGCTATTCGCCTGCATGTTCCAACGTTGTTCCCTCATAAAATAACATACCTGGAATTGTTTTAGCACCATCCAACGGCTGGCACAGACTGGCACAAACACATCCCACAATACATTTTATTCTGCCACAAACCAGTAGATTGTCAGCATTTTTTGGGGGGAATTCTATGCTGATCTTTTGCAGTATGATTTAGCTATTTGTTTGCCCCATTCAAATTATATATAACCCTGATTCCACCTGCTCTACTTTACTCTACTCTGCTCTACTCTACTCTACTCTACTCTACTCTACTCTACCTGGTTGTTTCCATAACACTTTAATATCTGGTGCTGTATCCTAGCAATCTACCCACAACAATCCAACATCCATGGAAATTCCTTGATAGCCATGGCTTCCAGCAGCACTCTGGCCTATCACTGTCAGTAACAACAATTAAGTGCCAGCTCGGCCTGGATAGAACCAGAGCCAAGCAGGTACTAAAACGTGCTTGGTACCGGTTAAACGAGACCAGTGGAAACACACCCAATGTAGAGTCGAGTAGAGTAGGGCCAAATAGGGCTAGTGGAAATGGGGCTTTACACTATTTAGTTTGTTTTCGAATACACAAAGAAGACAAAGGGAGAGAGGTGTCTTATTCACAACCGTTATCGAAAAGCGTGACAGCCAATTCCCATTTCCCCTGTATTGTTTTTCAATACGACATCCGCCCACATCCTCGACATCACCGCTCATTACGTCATTCCTTCAGGCAGTAAATCCTCATCCTCGCCATGTCCAGGTTTGCTTTGGAAGATATAAATAACCGTTGCTTCATCAGGAGGTCAAAGCAGGAGGCATGCAGAAAGAATCGGCCATAATGAGCGTGCAAGAATCAATTGGGCATCCGTGTTTTCCAATCGGAGAAAAGATAGTAGAGGGAAAGGGGAAGACGGGGAGGGACCACGTTCAGCTAACTCGCCCTGAGGCTCACGTTACGTACACGCGGAGCCAACATCCTGCCGACGGAAGTTCAGTACAGAGACTAAAATCTATAATTCATCCGTGACTTCAAGCTGTTTTTTTTCAGCAGACTAATACACTGGACATGCATGCACAAGGTGAAAAATGTAGTATTACACAAGCAGACGCTGTCATGTGATTTTTCTACACAGATGAGTTCAATTGCGTTTGGACCGAACCGATTATGCCCCGAGCACTTTTGGAGATAACATTAACAAAAACAGAGCTTTAAAATGCTTGAATGTCTGGGGGTTTTATGAGTAGTGCTACAGTATACAACTAAACTGGCCTCATTTTATTGTGTTTCCCGTTTTGAAAATCTGCCGCTGCAATGAAATCCACAGTAAAGTAAATCTGCGTTCAGTAACCAGTAGCCATTACTGTTCACATTTTGCAAAACTTGGGGAGGAGATTCCGTCGCACTCTCATACTCATAACAAGTACAATGGGCGGCACGGCGGCTGAGTGGATAGCACTCTCGCCTCTCAGAAAGAAGGTCCTGGGTTCGAATCCCGGTCGGACCAGGGCCTTTCTGAGTGGAGTTTGCATGTTCTCCCCGTGTCTGCGTAGGTTTCCTCTGGGTACTCCGGTTTCCCCTACCACTAAAAACATGTACAATAGGTCTGGCATGCGCCTCCTGTTCGGCAACCCCGCTCCCATCTCTGTGTGGTTTACAAAATAACAATTGTAAACCGCTTTGTGACTCTGGTCTGTGAAAGGCGGTATATAATTAAACATTACTTACTACGATCACTGATATTACCAATAGTGAATGTTAGCGACAAGCAGCAATCTTCACAAGAGCTAAGGGATCTTTCACAGTTTGATATGATTCGCGATACACGGCTCTTGATAATACAACTATTTGCGACATGATCGATGCCATAGTTACGGAGGGAGAGACAAATGCTCTTATCAACCATTATTGATTAATGAAGTTAATTATAGACCATGCATGCACGCTTAGATGCCTGTTAGATTTGTTCCATAATTTTTTTGTTGTCTCTTGTTACCTAAACAAATACAATTCAACAACAATTTAATTTCTTTGATTTGATAAATATCATAAAATATATTCATTTTGATAACACTGATAGGGAGTAAGACATATACAGTCGGTATTATATGTTTTAAACGTATTATATGTTTTAAACGTATTATATGTTATACGTCAACACTGTATAATTGTAAAGTATTTTCAAACTCATCAAAATCTTCAATGGGTTAGGTTTTTTTTTATGACTGAAATTGTGTTTATTATGTTTTTATATGTATTATGTTTTTTATCATACAGGGGAGGGGAAGGTGGGAATAAAACAAATAAAAAAAGAACATTAAAAATAAAAATAAATTACCATCTAGAATAATTTGATAAAACAATTGTATTCATGCCAAATTATGTGCTGCACTATTGTCTGTGTGTCATTGAGGAAGTGAACCAAGGAAAGAACACTGTATTGGTGCTAGAAAAATTGGGGATCATCAAAGCAACGGCATGTCGTAAGGTTAATTTAATATTAAAACATTTTCCAAAAGTAGCCCTCTCAAACTAAACGTAGATAAAAAATTTTAAATAATGTAAATACAAGCTGAAACTAAACTCCTAGATGATTCGAGCCCCCTCCACATCTATTTGGAGAGTCCCACCGGGAGGCAGGAGATGGGCTGATGCACTTACACTGTTTTGAAATTATGGATTTTTTTCCCGATGACGCAACTTTGTTTGTTAACCCGGCGAGCGCCTGTGTCCGTGTCGGCGTGTTCAGTGGTGCGTGCGGCTCGTCCTGACAGGAGAACACAGCGTCACTGAAGCCAAAACCGCCTCAGCGACATTTAGAGAAAGGTGCTGAGTGCAGAGTGTGCTCGTCTGCCTCTTACTCACTTACGTAACGTTACGCACATCTCCGCAGCATTGTCTCTCTTTTTCGACATCAAAGATACTGTCAGTGCGTTTGGACGACTAGGCTGTTGTTCCGATGTCAATTTGTATTTCAAAAATGCTTGCTTGTTTTTTTTTTTTTAGCTTAGCGGTGATGTCACTACATTCCCAAGAACCCATAGTTTAAAATGATGGAGCAGAGGAGGGGAACGTTTTTACTAGGAACTATGGTACAGTTACTATGGTACAGTCTTAGTTTTTAGCTAATTTCTCTGTAATCCCTGGATCAATCCATACAATACAAAAACTGTTACAATGTTCCAGAACTTCTTGTCAGTACATTTCAACTATGGTCTGAACATTTAAGTGTCTAGAAGTCAATAGTGACAATAACTAAAAATGATAAGCATGATGTCAGTAGAAAGGACAGTCGGACTTAAAAAAAGTATGGCAGGTTTTTGAATCCAATTCCGATGAAATACTGATCCTCAAAATGTCTTTAAAAAAGTAGCTTCTTTCCCATAAAGTTGTATTGGTTTGTGCCCTCCAACTGATATATAATTATATTTCATGAACGCAACCTGTACATATTTTCAATAATATTGTTTATTGTGTGGATTTTGATGAAGATATTTTTTTTCTTCTGTCAAACTAGTTTTCCTTCAAATCAAGAAGTAGAATCCAAAAATACTGATGTAATCAATTACAGTACATTTACAATATATTTTATCCATCCAAGCAAGATTACTGCTTACCTTGTATGTAAGTAGTCTCTAATGTGTATTTTTATAAGCACATTTTACAGAAAAAGCACTTTACAATTTGGACAATATAACTGTTTTGAGTGTAAGCAATTAAATTCAATTCAATGTATTCGTGTATGACCCTAAATCACCGCAGTAGTTTTCTCAGAGGACTTTACACAACCGTTGAATTCGCCAACACAGATCAGAGAATCAAACAGAATAAAAAGCAACCATAGATCCCACAGGAAACCCCCACTTGTCATGGTGTGGACTTTCTGTTGATGTATCTGGTTTTATTTTGATATGTTTGTTCTCTTGTCGTAAGTTTTACTTCATGTCTGTCTCGTTGATTGTTTGCCCCTCCCTGATGTGCTACACCTGTGTCTACCTGTATGTATTTAGACCCTGTGCTCCTGTCCTCTTGTTGTTGGTTCATTGTTGTTTTTCCCCCATGTCTTGTTCCCGGTTTCAGTTATACTTTTTGTGGTGTTTATTAAATTATATTATTTTTGCAGTTCTGCTTTTGGGTCCTTCCTTGTTTACCCGTGACAGAATGAACCAACCATTATTGGACTCCGCAGACTGCTTTTCTTTTTTACCCACACCTTGATAATTTTTCTGGACCTCATCTCTGCCAAGGTCATCTTGCCTACATGCCTTCTGCCAGTTGTGGACCTCACCTTGAACCACCGCCAGATAAGAATTCCATCTGGGGTGGTCTCCTGTTTTTCCCTCGGAGCCACTGCCGGGCATTTTGTCTCCGCCTGGGGTGGTTCCCTTTGCTCCTGTCCTGACCTGGAGGTCTACACTGGGTTCCAGCTCTTGCGTGTTCCTTGTCCCTGACCTGAGATGCTGGCCGTACCTCTCCCACCATCAGGTTTTGTGCATTTTTTTTCTCGTCTGCTCCCCACTGATGACCTCTCTACCTCCGATTTGTGACCACCGCCAGACTATAGTCTCCGTCTGGGATGGTCGTCTTCTGCTTGTGACTCTGTGCCACCGCTGGACATTGTTTTCCGTCCGGGGTGGTCTCCTGTGCCCTGTTCTTCAAGAGAGGTCAACTCTGGGTTCCAGTACGTCCTCCTCCTGACTCCCTCTGCCCTCCTGGGATAGTTTTTTGTTTTTTGGACATCTGGGACATCTGTCCTAGAAGGGGGGGGTACTGTCATGGTGTGGACTTTCTGTTGATGTATCTGGTTTTATTTTGATATGTTTGTTCTCTTGTCGTAAGTTTTACTTCATGTCTGTCTCGTTGATTGTTTGCCCCTCCCTGATGTGCTACACCTGTGTCTACCTGTATGTATTTAGACCCTGTGCTCCTGTCCTCTTGTTGTTGGTTCATTGTTGTTTTTCCCCCATGTCTTGTTCCCGGTTTCAGTTATACTTTTTGTGGTGTTTATTAAATTATATTATTTTTGCAGTTCTGCTTTTGGGTCCTTCCTTGTTTACCCGTGACACCACTCCTATTCCTCACCTTTTTGCAGAGGACGAGCTGGTGGTCAAAGAGGAAGAAGACTCTCTGCTGACTGCGACCGTACGGTTGATATATCCACGACAGCTCCCCGGTGTAGATCAGCTCTGAGCTCCGGTCCAGAATATCATCCCCCTGGACACAACATTACGTCATGATCAGCACGGGCCTCAATCAGTCCCCTTCATGGAGCTCTAAAGCGCAATGTAATGCACCAAGTCATCTAATTACCACCTCATGTTTACCCTGAAGGCGTCGTTACTTTTTTTAGAGGCAACACGTTAGAATGATTTGGAACAAGACATCGATTGTGGTGAAAGCTGTAATTTGTGGATTTGATAGGAACAATGGGACATTAAGATAATTGCTGTATGTGAAGTGAGAATTATTGAACTTTTAACATCTGGTCCATTTAGCAGCCCGGATGCGTCTCATACATTTAGATGATCTTATTTTCGGTTAAGCCTGGTTCACACGAGACGATTTTAAAATTGTCGGCCGATTTTTTTCTCTGTGTGAGGTCCCACACACAGAGAAAAAAAATCAAGGGTCTAACCACTTTGGTTGTACAGTGTGCGGTGCGCAGCCACACAGCAAATCACGCAAACCACACACATCACACACGAACCGATTTCACCTGCGAGCATTCCCAGGCCAGACGGACATGTCACAAAATCTCTCGAGATCCAGTGTGACTTCAGAATAAACAATCATGGCGGACAAAGAGGATGCAGTGGCAATAGTTTGTATTTATCAGAGAAAAGACGTAATCAAAAGAAAAGGCGATCACAGAAGTGTAGACAACACGAGCATGGACAGTACTTGCTACATCGTGATGTGGAGGTGAGCTGTTTTTTTAGGCAAGGCAAGGCAAGGCAAGTTTATTTGTATAGCACAATTCATACACAAGGCAACTCAAAGTGCTGAACAAGATAGCATTAAAATCATAAATAATTACAGAACATTAAAACGAAAGATAAAAATATAAAATCCCTCAGTTGTATGCACAGCTAAACAGCACCGTTTTTAACCTGGTTTTAAACATTGTCAGAGAGGAGGCCTGTCTCACATCTTCAGGAAGATTGTTCCAGATTTTAGCAGCATGAATCTGAAAAGCAGCCTCCCCATGTTTAGTTCTGACTCTGGGCACTAACAGGAGTCCAGTCCCTGTGCTCCTCAGAGTCCGGGCTGGTTCATATGGGACTAACATGTCACTAATATATTTTGGTGCGAGGCCATGGAGAGACTTGTACACAAGCAGAGCTGTTTTAAAGTCTATTCTCTGAGCCACAGGAAGCCAGTGCAGGGACCTGAGGACTGGACTAATGTGGTCGTACTTCCTGGTTCTAGTCAGGACTCGAGCTGCTGCATTTTGAATGTACTGCGGCTGTTTTACAGCCTGTTTGGACAGACCTGTGAGCAGGCCATTGCAGTAGTCTAACCTACTGGAGACAAATGCATGGATAAGAATCTCCAGGTCTGCTTTAGACACTATGTTTTTGATCCTGGCAATGTTTTTTAGATGGTAAAAAGCTGCTGATGTTACTGATTTGATGTGGCTATTAAAATTTAAGTCTGAGTCCAGTATTACCCCTAGATTTCTGACCTTGTTTGAAGGTTTTAGGGAGAGAGACTGTAGATGACAGATGACGCTCTCTCTTTGTTTCTGGGGACCAAAGACAATCATTTCAGTTTTGTCTGCGTTTAGCTGAAGGAAGTTTTTTTGCATCCACTCACTGATCTGTTGGATACAGTGAAGGAGTGAGTCCACTGGTCCATGTTCTCCTACAGTCAGTGAGACATAGATCTGAGTGTCGTCTGCATAGTTATGATAGGAAACTTTGTTTCTGCGTATTAACTGACCTAACGGCAGCATGTAGAGATTGAACAGAAGAGGTCCCAGGATCGACCCCTGTGGGACTCCACAGGTCAGGGCCATATGATCTGAGACACAGTTTCCAATCTCCACAAAGTACTTCCTGTCTTCAAGGTAAGACCTAAACCAACTTAGGGCGGTGCCAGCGACGCCAACCCAGTCCTCTAGTCTCTGTAAGAGGATCTCATGGTCGACAGTGTCAAAGGCAGCACTTAGATCTAACAGGATTAGGATTGAGACTTTGCCTGCGTCAGTGTTCAGCCGGATATCGTTTGTAACCTTGACAAGAGCAGTCTCAGTGCTGTGGTGGGGTCTAAAGCCGGACTGAAACATATCAAATGAGTTGTTGATTATAAGAAATCTAGTAAGCTGTAGGTAGACAACTTTTTCAAGGACTTTCCCCATAAATGGCAGATTTGAGATGGGACGATAGTTGTTAAGTACCGTAGCATCCAGACTGCTCTTTTTTAGCAGGGGCCTGATGACTGCAGTTTTCAGGGCCTTTGGGAATATTCCAGAATCAAGGGACATGTTTACTATCTGTGTGAGTGAAGGTAACAGACTGCTCAGAACAGACTTTAGAAATATAGTGGGTAGTACATCCAGGCTGCATGTGGAGGAGCTCAAACTGGAGATTATCTCTTGGACAGTTTGATCATTTACAGGTGCAAAGTAAGTTAGCTCAAAGAGCCTTTCTGGCTGTTGGATTGTTATCAGTGGATTGGAGACAATGGCGTTTTTGATGCCTTGAACCTTGTCATTGAAAAAATGTGCAAACTCATTACATTTACGTTTGGAAGTTAGCTCTAATGGCATTTGAACAGGGGGGTTTGTTAATCTATTAACTGTTGAAAACAGAACACGCAGATTGTTGCTGCAGCCTTCAATCATTTCAGAAAAATACCTTTCTCTCGTACTACGTAGCACCTGGTTAAACTCGCACAACTTATCTTTGAAGATCTCGTAATCAACCTGGAGGTTGGACTTGCGCCACTTCCGCTCGGCCCTCCGGCACTCTCTCTTTTGTGCCCTGACCGAGTCTGCTTTAGCCCACGGCGCCTTCTGCTTATTTTTCACTATTTTAACCTTCACAGGAGCGATGGTGTCCAGAACTTTCAAAACACTAGAGGTGACAGAGTTAAACAGTTCATCTACAGTAGAATACAATGCATTCTCAAAGTTTATCATTCCCATAAATAGTTCACCCGTATTTTCATTTATGTGTCTTCTTCGTACAGTTGCAGAGTCCACTGGTGGTTTGTTAGTGAAACACATGTCAAAAAATATACAAAAATGATCCGAAAGCGCAACATCGACCACGTTTACATTATAAATGTTCGCCCCCTTTGTAACTAACAGGTCTAGAGTGTGCCCTCTGCTGTGGGTGGGGCCACTCACATGCTGAGTGAGACCAAAAGATTCAAGAAGAGAACTCAGCTCTTTAGCATTTCTGTCATCAACATTATCCACATGAATATTAAAATCACCTGTAATAACTAAACTATCAAAATCTGTGCATACAACTGAAAGCAACTCTGTAAAATTATCAATAAAACTGTGACATGACTGCGGTGGCTTGTATAGGACAACGAAAAGTATTGGAGGAGATTGTTTTTGTTGTATTTTAAAAGACACATATTCAAAAGACGGAAACTTCCCAAGAGACATTCTATGGGAGACAAAGTGGTCTCTGAAAATGGCAGCTAAGCCTCCTCCTTTTTTGTTTTCCCGTATTTCAGATTCAAATTTGAAATTTGGTGGTGATGCTTCTATTAAAACTGCATTTTCTGTATTTTGGTCAAGCCATGTTTCAGCCATAAACATAAGATCTAGATTATAAGAACAAATAAAATTATTGATTAAAAAAGACTTGTTACAAAGAGATATGACATTTAGCATAGCAAGTTTAAAAGTTTCAGGATCAGCGGTTGTGGTCGGCTGATTCTTACACGGAACAAGAATTAGATTTTCCTGATTAGACTGATTAACTTCAGATGTTTTTCTGTTATGTATTCTTTGTGTTATCACTAAGGGAATGGCACAGGTGGCTTCATGACAGGGCCCCAGCCGGGTCTCTCCTCTAACTAGACTGCCAGTGGCTGCGAAGCAGAGACCCTGTGCATCCTAGTGTTTAGAGAAAAGAGGGGAAGGGGAAGGCGGGGGAGGAGGATGGAGAGGCGGGTGGTTCTTGGGAGTTGGACGGGGAGGGGTTGAAGGTGGATGGGTTTTTGGTGATGGGTTAGGGGAGGGGCAGGCTGAGTTGGGTGGTGGACGAGGGGGGAGTGGAGGTGGAGGGTTTCTTGGTGCTGAGTTAGGGGGGAGGTGGGCTAAATGAGCAGGAGGGGGGGGTGGAATACTTATGGGGTTAGAGGAGGGACGGGTGGATTTTGTGGGAGAATTTGAGTTGGACGCCCTAGGTGGCTTTGGAGGTACGTATGGGGAGTTTTGAATGTTAGATAGGACTCTTGATCTGGCTACAGTGGGTGTGAGAGGAATAGTCTTCATCGCCGATCTTATCATGCCTGCAGAGTGTTCCGGTAAATCCAGTAGTGAAGGCGGGGATAGAAAACAAAGGGAAAGGTCGTCCTCATTTTCCCTAGATGGTGTGGATGTAGCGGGGGGGACCCAAGCCGGGTCCATGGAAGGTGATGAGGGAGTCTTTGGTGGAGACAGAGGTGGTTGAGGAACCCCCAGTACAGGCCTGACTGTAGCCTGGAGTAATGGGGGAAGCTTCACGGGAGCTGTAGGTGGGGAAGGTGCTGCTGAAGATGATGGAGCAGCCACTGCTGCTGCTGAAGATGATGGAGCAGCCACTGCTGCTGCTGAAGATGATGGAGCAGCCACTGCTGCTGCTGTATCCACTGCTGCTGGTGGTGCTGTATATGCTGATGGCGCTGATGAAGATGTGGGAGCTGCTGATGATGCTGGGGGTGGAGGCGTTGAGCTCTTTTGGAACCTTGGAGGTGTTGAGTTCTTCTTGAATCGTGAAGGTGTGGAGTTCTTTTGAGGCGGTGGGGGTGCAGAGACCTCGGGAGTCGGTGGAGATGGTCGTGATGTCTGTGCCCTTTGCTTCTTCTTTCTCCCTTTCGACGGCTGCACGCGCTGCGCAGGCTGAGGTCTTAGGGCAGATGCAAAGTTATCCATCAACACTTTTACTCCGTAGTTGTTCAGATGTGGACCTTTTTCTTCAAAAAGCTCGTGCCTATTCCAGAACAGATTAAAGTTTTCAATGAAGCCAAGTCCTCTGCGTGAACACTCA